CCACCCTCACCACTCCCCCACTAGCCCCAACATGCATCTTTCTCAACCACCACAGTACTAGGCCCTAATGTAAGTGGATCTCAATGAAGATTTTGACTCCAGAGTTTAAAGTTAATAGGGTGAAGAATTGAAGTGTAATCATACCTCAAATCCGGCATCCATTGCAACTGTTGGAACATAATTATCTTGGAATGTTACCAAACTTAAAGTCAGTCCCCTGTCACTACCCATTTGCTGTAACTTCAATCGACCGTTTGTTGAGACATATTGTGGTCCGTTTATAATTAAACATCTGCCTTCTTCAGTATCAATTGTTTCCAAGGTTGAAGTTTGTATGGGATTGTAACCAATCATTAAATAGTTTATCATTTTTTGCCAATCGAAGGCTGTTGCTTCTAGAAATTGTGCAATCGACACGTTTGCAATTTTTTTAGAATCAGGTGTGGACCAATCGTATCCATTCTGAGCGGACTTCATGATATATTCAGCTATTTCTTCCGTAATAAAGCCAGATGAATTAGAATACATCCCTCTGTTACATAAAGTTATTCCTGGAAACGGTATCTCCTCCCTCCGCTCTGTTCGGGTTACAGTTAAAAATCTGTGCTCTTTGTATGATACGTAAGTTTTGATCAAAGTATATGATAAACCCCCTAGAAGTGCAAGTACAACAGCTAGCCATATCATTCTGAAAAACAAATGAAATCTCTAATTAAACATGTACATTATTTGCAAGACCAGTCGTTGGCATTCAATTTCAGATGTTTATTGAATGATAATTCACCTTTAAATTAAATACATGAATGTGACATGACCGTTAAAGCAAAAAATACTCTAAATTTTCCAGATAAAACTCAATCATGTCAACAAGCAGCACAACAACGGTAATTCTCTGTGGCCAAAATACGTGAATGGCATTCCCTTAATTAAAGGTGAGGTAAAGTTGATTGTCTATTCAATACATTTCATCGGATTAGTCGCAGTCGACATGTGCGAAGCGTTCATACTGAAAACTGCACTCAATCCAGGGTTGGACAACATCTTGAAGTATATCTGTGAGAAATCAGTTTACCAAAGTCTGAGGTACTACCCGTCGAACTTGGGACGTTTTTGACCGATATATTGAAGATTAATACATAAAAATACCGTTTAAACATACGACTGTATAAGATTTCTACAGTGAAATGATACAAAATGTGATTCATACCTAATGTAAATTGATGATTTATTGTCACCAACATACTTCCAACCATGGCAGGTAGTTTCTGACATAAATTCTTTCAAAACTGGCTTCATCCTTTAACAGTATTGTAGGCCTGTTGCACTCAAGAAATGTCCATAATGACTATGTAAAGTTATGAAGTCGATGGTTATCAAGATCAACTGACTGAAGATACTAATAAATGATGGGCTACTAACAAATGATATAGCCAAAACAGTAATGAAGCGTATATCGATTTCCAATAGGGTTCTAGTATTCCATGATTAATATACTAATTGTGTTCTGCTAACGGTCATTGAAATGCGTGTTTACTTAATTTGCTATTCCATTAATACATTTCAAACAAGTAAATGTTTAAATAGATTTTATGTTATCTAATGCTAACAAAACCTAAAGGGACAGATGGACCATTTTCGGGGATTGATTTGATTCTTGAATATTATTATCTGCCGTAGAACAGAAAATAATTTTTGACATTTTTCATGCATATTGGCCATAGAGGCAAATATGGCCAATAACCAACTTTTTCAAATACACTAATTTGGCTCAACTTTTGCGCTTTTCCTACTAATTAGACCCCAAGGACTTAAAAAAAACAATCAGTAACTTTTCAAAGTAGCTATATACAGTCTTCAATGTAATGCACAAGAAGTGCTCAAATCTAAATAAATATTTTGCTTGAAAAGTTACAAAGCTACAAAGCTGAAACTTGCAGGCAATGTTAACATGGACTATCTGCACAAAAAACAAAAGACAAATATGTAAATAGTCTTCAGAAGTACTAGAAATCGCATAATTTCTTCAAAAATATATCAAACTTGTCCTATTTCTATAGATATTTTTTCTATATATGGCACTGTCTCAAGAAAAGATGACTCGTCTTTTTAATTTTCAAACGCGGATAATTCCGGACACATGTAGATCTGAAGGCTCAAATTTCGATGGTGAACTGTGAACAAATTACTGATTGGCTTGGCTAAAAAATTCCCGTTTCTGAGTCAAAAGATGGCGCATATGTCCCTTTAAAGAAGTCTATATCTATACCTGAACAAAATTCAAATGAAGTTTGGTACTTCTGGAGTAAGCAACTTTACTTACAAAGATATTGTACAGACTCATGTATATAAGAAAGGGCGTTTCTTTTGCACCATTCTCATACCGCCAATTTCCTTCATTTATCATACCAACTTAATGGGGATTCCTGATGAGCATTGTGTTATTTAACATGAAATCCTCAAATCGCCACCTTTAAAAATAATTTGCTTTGTTTTTATTCCGTTTAATGGTTTACAAAATATCATTTGATTGTGACTACATAATGAATTTATTGCTGTAGACAGCCTGTAGTTTATAACATTATTATTTGATTTCTGGTGGTACTACATTATATCCCTTTATCATTTGCGTTTCATTGTATTACATATCTGAATATTTTTTTATGGTAATACAATATCTACCGGTCTCCGGTGATACCACACCATCTAATTTTGCTAGTAGATTTCTGATAGAGTACTTTCTACCTTTACTGGTTATTTTCTGATAGTACTACATTTACAACATCTACCTCCATTGGTTGATTTCAGATGGTATCACACTGTCTATATTTACTGGTTGATTTCTGATGATACTACACCATATACCTTTAATGGTTGATTTCTGATAGTCATCTATTGCTTGATTTCTGATAGAACTACACAATCAACCTTTATTGTTGATTTCTGATGGTATCATACTATCTACCTTTACTGGTTGATTTCTGGAGATACCACGCCATATAATTTTGCTGGTAGATCTACAGTATCTACCTTTACTGGTTGATTTCTGATGGTACCATACCATATAATTTTGAATGTAGATTTCTGATAGCACTAGATTATCGACCTTTTCTGGTTGATTTCTGATGTTACCATACCATATAATTGTGCATGTAGATTTCTGAGAGCACTAGGTAATCTACCTTTTCTGGTTGATTTATGATGATATTACACCATCTACCTTAAGTGGATGATTTCTGGTGGTACCGCACCATCTACTTTTATTGGTAGCATTACACCATCTGTCTCTATTTCTTGATTTTTGATGGTAATTTGCAGATAGATTTCTGATAGCATTAGACTATCTACCTTTACTGGTTGATTTCTGATGATTGGACAATTGGAATGGAAACATATTGTTACTTCTTATGTAAAAAAAAAAAAATAAGCGTAGACTATAGTTCCATACATTTTTCAGGGGAAATCCTTGGATGCGTCACGAGTTACATATATGGTATTCTTTTGGTCATTTCTGGAATCTTAGAATGATCTAATTAAAAAATTTGCAGACAGTGTTATATAAGTATAGGCTACCAGGTAAATATAATTAGATTCGATTAGTTTAGATATATGATATTGCATACGAGGATTGGTAACGTTGCTCTTGCTTCAAAATTGTAGTTTATCTGTGATAGTTTTATTTCTCTTTAGACAAAATACGAAGTGACTATTTCTGAATGGAGATTGGTCGAATTGACTGTACCTGAATAGAGATCGGTCGAATTGACTATTTCCGGTAGAGGCCGGAAATGAGTTTTGTAAACATCCTTTTGGCGGTTTCCTTAAACGAAATTTTGACTTTATCCTAATAATATATTGCTTAATGTAACATTATCATGGTTATTGTTTGTAGGTATTTATTCCAAAAGTTTGAGATCACACTCCGCTCACGAGCATGTCTTCTTTCAAACTACTTCCGTCTTTATGATCAGGCTACTCTCTGACTAAAATAGAACTTTCAACTTTCACTTGCCTTAAAATGTCTTCGGGTCCATAGAAATATAAGGTTCTGTGATTTTACAATTGAAATAGGCACTTCTCTCCCAGAAAATTCACCTCAACCCACAGGCAATCCAAGACTCAATAGTATTTTGTATTTGATATTTCTATATCATATGGAAATGATTGCGAAAATTCAATTCAGAAAACAGTGTAATCAGAGAGTAGTTAATCTCCGAATCTGATCGGAGTGAGCTCAAACTCTTGTCTTGTTGAGTCTGAGGCTGATGGCATGCTTTGCCAGTGGTTACCCCCTAACAGAGTTTCAATTTACACACCTTGTGATTTCGTCCTTTTACAATTTTCTACTTGTCCAATGCACCATTGTGGTCAAACATAGATACTTCCCCACTTACCGGACAATCCTGACAAGTCCTAACAAAACGTCTCAAATTCATACCGATTTTCTACCTTTCGTATGTATACTTTTCACATTTGGAAAATTTAGCTTAGACGCATGCGCTATTATGTCCAGTATATTGAGGATCAACTTGTATTATTCTATTATTATAGTCTGATTAATGATATCAATAATATGATATAAAGATGGATGAAAAATGGATTTTGAAGAAGTTAAAATCAAGGGAGATAATTGATTTTGTAGTTCATTTGCAGGTGACTATTCCTCTTATTTTAACATTACAGTACTGTCTAACAGTCTAATTACTTATTTCTTGTAACATCCCATATATATTTTGAGTCTTTATATTACCTAATGCCTTTCCAGGAATAAATGGGTAATTATAAAAAAGTTAACCTTGCCATTCATTTGTATATCTTATTATGATATAAGCTTATCTGTTGCCCTTTCAGGAATTGTTCCAAAATGGAAGGATAATTAACAAACAACAAGTAATCTTTGCAGTTCAGTTTTTACATGGTATAAAGGATATAGTATTTGATGGTATTGTTAATGATGATGTTATATTATCTACTGTATTGTGTTGTCAGTTTTATAGAGAAAATATACATGTAGCTAGTGATGTGATTAAAGAATTATCAGTTCAACAACTTCTTTATCATATTTTTGCTAAAATTCCATGGAAGGTTTGTTCTTTATTTATTTTCAATCATATTATATACCCGTAATGTATATCTAGATGTTTCTTAAGTTGCAGCAGTGAAGTGTTGATAATTTTTATGGAGTCCACATACCCAATATTATTATTTAATATGTATAGTTATATTAACATTGGTATATATGCACTGAGATGCATTGCTTTTCATTATTCTTATATTATGCTTATTCACGCTAGATTTTGTTGATTTGAAATCTTTTGACTCAGGGACCAATTTGTTTCTATGCATTTCAGAGCCATGTTCAGAGATTATTTGAAATAGGAGAAGAAATGTACTATTTATTACAAATAGTTACTGATAGAATCAAGGAAATCTCTCCAATAATACAGAATACTTATGGTTTATTATGGAAAATAGCAGGAGATCTAGAAAAAACTACCGACTTCACAGATTTTTCTTTTTCTATGAAATTGAGAGTTCTAGCTTTAAAGATACATCTTTTAAAACCAAATATCATAGTGGATATGATGAACAAATTGTCCCTATCAATTGAACGCTACAGTTCTCTTATGAAGGCTAAACAAATGTGTTCTGTGAAAAAACAAAGGGAAATTCAGAGTACATTGGAATTTTTATTAGAATTTTATACTTTTGTGAGTTTGCATGTAGACTGTACTCAATGTTCATGTGAGACCTTGAAAGTACAGAGTCAAATTCTAAAATTATTTGTAAGATTTGACTTATTCCAAGAATGTGATAGTTATTTAAGTCAGTGTCAAGTAGAATTTAAGGACATGTTGTGTATTATTTATTATTTATCCATACCTTACAACCATACTAATTTTGATGTGGTCAAATTAGGTGAAGTATTAGACACCTCCCTACAGCTAGACTTAAATAAAACAGAACATTTAGAAATATGGACAGATTTGTTTGCATTTTGTCAAACACAAATGAGAATAACTAAATTTGTGGATGCCAATTTACCTACTGACTTATTGCGTAAGTTAGTGACTTTTTATGATAGAGTGAAAGAATTAGTATTACATGAATTTAAACATATTAACCAACAGTCAAAGACTAAAACAGATCCAAGAATTGTTCAAACAGAAAAGATATTAATAGAAATAGTTAAGTGTCAGATGTCTTTTTATCAGAAAGTATTAGTTCTTTGCGAAGGTAAGTAAAAATTACGTTTAGTATAATATTGAATTTAGTGCACAAGCATTGAGTGAGAAATCATTTTTAATACGCCCACATCTCTCTATCCCTGTCGGTCCGCCTGTACGTCAACATTTGCTTGTAAACGCTCTAAAAACTAGATTTTTTTTAGGCCTCTTACGTCAGTTTTGAGGTTATCGCCCTTTAACCTCTATACAGTAAGTGCTTCTATCAACATCAATTGCTCGTAAACACTCTAAAAACTATTTTTTTGATGAAATCAAATGAAATTCGGTATGTGTATACATATTCATAAAACGAAGATCGAATTTGAGCTATTTTCGACCGTAGAAGCAGAGTTATTGCCCTTGCCCAAAAATCTTGAATATGCTATTACTCTCTTAGTTTTCAACCGATTTTGATGAAACTTAAAATGGATGTTTCGTTTTTACCATCCGAAGGGCTTATATGGCTGTGGTCCACTATCTTTACCTTCTAGTTTATGTAAGTGAAATATACCTGTCACCGATAAATAATACTTACCTGGATTGTACATTGTAAATCAAATTCATTTGTTTGGTTGCATTCCATTTGTTTGAGGGTTCTAATCTTAGTCAACATGTGGATTTGAGTCCTTCCACATTTTTCATTCAACCAAGCCTTAAATTGGTACTAACTATCCAAGGAAGATCCAAGTCAAGATGTTAGACCCAGGATCAATAAATATTTGCTTTGTTTTCTAGGTGATGATAGAAGAGAAATTATTGAGAAAGTAAAGCTTACTTGTCAGGGTGACATCTTACTCTCCAAATCATTATCAGATAAATCACTATCATCATTCCAGAAGACCTATGGTAAGATAATGCTATAATGGTAGAGATAACTAGAATATGTTTTAGGCTACTGAAGACATCATTGAGCTGTTTGTAATGAGTACAATTTTCTCAGGACAGTGAAATCAGTCTTTATTTTTCTAAGATTTGTGGGTATTTAAATGTGCATAAGCTACAGCATACAGGACACTGTTTATTGTCCCATCCAAACTACTGGATACTTTTAGCGATGCAAACACCTCCAACCTACAAAATGATATCAGACTGGAATAATTTTTGTATCATACTTTAAATTAATGAAATATTTTTCTATTATATAGGTATTATACTGGAAAAGTTAGGTTTATTATGTTATAATGAACAATTAGAACAGTATGACATATATTTTACTGAGTTAAGTTCTCAATTATTATTAGCTTACTCTACTGATGTTAATAAAGTCATACAATCTAGAGCAGAAGAGGTACAGTATGTTAGATATACTTCTCTTTCATAAGATACTTTAACAGAATTAGATATTTCTCCCTGTATTGTGGCCTGTAATACTGTTGAATAATATACTTTATTTAGTCTCTGCACGTAGCTTTAGAATTAGGTTTACTGTAGTTTCCCAGTGCCTGTTTTTATATTACAGATACATTTATGGCAGGTATTTGAGAATTTAAGTGAATATTATAGAAAATATAATGAATGGAAGAAAGCTATAGAGAATATTATAAAAGGATTATGTGTAGTTGATAGTAAACATATGGTATCATTAGTTAAACGTTGGTTACAAATTAAACTAGCAGCTATTGACTCTGGTCAACTAAAATATTATACACTGTAAGTTAACTGGCGGAACATGCAAGGATATTTTCAGGCATAAACACTAAATTCTGAATAGTTTATAGCACTGGTAAATAAATTATCATCTTAATATTACATGTTAAGTAACACCTGACCTCATTCCAGTTGAGTCACCCTTGTTTATTAATATATTGAGTATTAATGAGTGATTGCTGTGACTCAAAAACAAATATTTTTTAGACGAAAAAATATCTATTTGAAAAATATTGTAATAGCCATGTTACCATTTATCAAAATTTGTGGGATAATTTGATTCTCTATTTCACTCTTAGACAATGAAAAAAAAAGTATTCACAGCTGGTTTTCTCCAGAAGCAGAGTCCAAGCTGAATGTTTTTTTTTGTTCTGATATATTTTAGTGATATAAGATGTATAAGTGTAGATCCATTCAAGATAAAAGATGATATTATGGTAACTGTACTGAAACATGAGTTACAATTACTACAAAAGTAAGTTTTATTCTAAAGTTTTTTCTTCTTTGGGGAGATTTTGTGTATGTGTTAAGCTGTTAACCCCAGATAAACAGATTTCTTGTATCTTGCTTGAAGTACGTGTAGTGTGGTCTGGAATTTGTTACTTTTATCTGGCCTCTGATTTTTGACTGACCACCAGATGCCAAACCTCCACATCAAGCAGTCTGTTAATTCTGTTGTTTATTTACAGAAAGAAATGTAGTATGGTAGAATATTATGTTTTAAAGAAATTAGTGGAAGTCTCTACAAGTAACTGTGATAAAGCTTTCTATCTCATATTACTAGCAAATACAACATGGCCCTCGGACATCACATGTAAAAGGTATTGGTATGCTTAATGTTTTTCGTCATCATTTAATGATGAAAACACCTCCTACTAGTTGTTTTAGTTCTCTTCACAGAATACTATTACAGGGCCAAAATGGCTGAGGCATAGTCCTAGATACCAGTCCTGTATCCAATAAAGCTAAATGTTTCAAAGGGTTTCATAGCACTTGTTTTCTACTGCAGGAGTTTTGACATGTCCAATAGGTAACTGGAGGGGAAAAAGTTCTGCAGAATTTCTTTTTATTAAAACACAAGACTGTCAAATCTGCCTAACCTGTTATGTTTATTTACAGATCAAGTGAAAAATATTTAGAAGAAGCTCTAAGTTTATTTACTGACATTAAGAGATATAGTGGTATAGACAAAATTATATTGGGTCAGATATATCTATGGAAATATATACAACTTCATGAAACCACTTGTCAAAAGGTATGATATATTTCATTTTCTTTTTTAATTTTTTTATTGACATTTCGGAAATGCAACACATCCAACAAACTAATTGTGTCCTAATTGTGCAACAGTTAATCTTTTCAAATACAATGGATTCACTGCAGATCGTGTCTAATTTTTTTTTTTTTCTGACAGTTTTTATTAGGGAAGAGTGAACCAGTTGTTATTGATAATGATGATGCTGATGATGAAAATGATGATGATAATAAAACCAGACAGTTATATAGTTTAAGTGATGAAGAAGAAATGATTAAGTTATTAGAGAGATCAGTAAAGTTATGGTTAGAGGCCTACCATACACCACTATCAGATACTATACAGAAACACTCTTTTATAGAATCACTCAAATTAACAGCTGCTATCTACAGAGCTCTGAAAAAGGTTAGTATCTTTCAGGTAATTGTTTGCACTCTATCCATGTGAAGAAAGTAAAGTAATAGTAATATTTTGTATTCTAGCCATGTAAAGAAAGTAATTAGTAATATTTTGTATTCTAGCCACTTAAAGAAAGTAATTAGTAAGATTTTGTATTCTATCCATGTGAAGAAAGTAAAGTAATAGTAATGTTTTGTATTCTAGCCATGTGAAGAAAGTAATTAGTAATATTTTGTATTCTAGCCACGTAAAGAAAGTAATTAGTAATATTTTGTATTCTATCCATGTGAAGAAAGTAAAGTAATAGTAATATTTTGTATTCTAGCCATGTAAAGAAAGTAATTAGTAATATTTTGTATTCTAGCCACGTAAAGAAAGTAATTAGTAATATTTTGTAATCTAGCTGTATGAACAAAGTAATTATATACATTTTGTATTCTAGCCATGAAAAGAAAGTAATTAGTAATATTTTGTATTCTAGCCACGTAAAGAAAGTAATTAGTAATATTTTGTATTCTATCCATGTGAAGAAAGTAAAGTAATAGTAATATTTTGTATTCTAGCCATGTAAAGAAAGTAATTAGTAATATATTTTATTCTAGCCATGAAAAGAAAGTAATTAGTAATATTTTGTATTCTAGCCACGTAAAGAAAGTAATTAGTAATATTTTGTATTCTATCCATGTGAAGAAAGAAAGTAAAGTAATAGTAATATTTTGTATTCTAGCCATGTAAAGAAAGTAATTAGTAATATTTTGTATTCTAGCCATGTAAAGAAAGTAATTAGTAATATTTTGTATTCTAGCCATGTAAAGAAAGTAATTAGTAATACTTTGTATTCTAGCCTTGCGAAGAAAGTAATTAGTAATATTTTGTATTCTAGCCATGAAAAGAAAGTTATAGTAATATTTTGTATTCTAGCCATGTAAAGAAAGTAATTAGTAATATGTTGTATTCTAGCCATGTAAAGAAAGTAATTAGTAATATGTTGTATTCTAGCCATGTAAACAAAGCAATTAGTAATATTTTGAATTCTAGTCATGTAAAGAGAGTAATTAATAATATTTTGTATTCTAGCCATGTAAAGAGAGTAATTAGTAATATTTTGTATTCTAGACATGTAAAGAAGGTAATTAGTAATATTTTGTATTCTAGACATGTAAAGAAGGTAATTAGTAATATTTTGTATTCTAGCTGTATGAACAAAGTAATTATATACATTTTGTATTCTAGCCATGTAAAGAAAGTAATTAGTAATATTTTGTATTCTAGCCATGTAAAGAAAGTAATTAGTAATATTTTGTATTCTATCCATGTGAAGAAAGTAAAGTAATAGTAATATTTTGTATTCTAGCCATGTAAAGAGAGTAATTAATAATATTTTGTATTCTAGCCATGTAAAGAGAGTAATTAATAATATTTTGTATTCTAGCCATGTAAAGAAAGTAATTAGTAATATTTTGTATTCTATCCATGTGAAGAAAGTAAAGTAATAGTAATATTTTGTATTCTAGCCATGTAAAGAGAGTAATTAATAATATTTTGTATTCTAGACATGTAAAGAAGGTAATTAGTAATATTTTGCATTCTAGCCATGTAAAGAGAGTAATTAATAGTATTTTGTATTCTAGCCATGTAAAGAGAGTAATTAATAATATTTTGTATTCTAGCCATGTAAAGAGATTATTTTGTATTCTAGCCATGTAAAGAAAGTAATAAGTAATATTTTGTATTTTAGCCATGTAAAGAAAGTAATTAGTAATATTTTGTATTCTAGCTGTATGAACAAAGTAATTATATACATTTTGTATTCTAGCCATGTAAAGAAAGTAATTAGTAATATTTTGTATTCTAGCCATGTAAAGAAAGTAATTAGTAATATTTTGTATTCTATCCATGTGAAGAAAGTAAAGTAATAGTAATATTTTGTATTCTAGCCATGTAAAGAGAGTAATTAATAATATTTTGCATTCTAGCCATGTAAAGAGAGTAATTAATTATATTTTGTATTCTAGACATGTAAAGAAAGTAATTAGTAATATTTTGTATTCTAGCCATGTAAAGAGAGTAATTAATAATATTTTGTATTCTAGCCATGTAAAGAGAGTAATTAATAATATTTTGTATTCTAGCCACGTAAAGAAAGTAATTAGTAATATTTTGTATTCTAGCCATGTAAAGAGAGTATTTTGTATTCTAGCCATGTAAAGACAAAAAATAGTAATATTTTGTATTCTAGCTATGTAAAGAAGGTAATTAGTAATATTTTGTATTCTAGCTGTATGAACAAAGTAATTATATACATTTTGTATTCTAGCCATGTAAAGAAAGTAATTAATAATATTTTGTATTCTAGCCATGTAAAGAAAGTAATTAGTAATATTTTGTATTCTATCCATGTGAAGAAAGTAAAGTAATAGTAATATTTTGTATTCTAGCCATGTAAAGAGAGTAATTAATAATATTTTGTATTCTAGACATGTAAAGAAGGTAATTAGTAATATTTTGTATTCTAGCCATGTAAAAAGAGTAATTAATAGTATTTTGTATTCTAGCCATGTAAAGAGAGTAATTAATAATATTTTGTATTCTAGCCATGTAAAGAGATTATTTTGTATTCTAGCCATGTAAAGAAAGTAATAAGTAATATTTTGTATTTTAGCCATGTAAAGAAAGTAATTAGTAATATTTTGTATTCTAGCTGTATGAACAAAGTAATTATATACATTTTGTATTCTAGCCATGTAAAGAAAGTAATTAGTAATATTTTGTATTCTAGCCATGTAAAGAAAGTAATTAGTAATATTTTGTATTCTAGCTGTATGAACAAAGTAATTATATACATTTTGTATTCTAGCCATGTAAAGAAAGTAATTAGTAATATTTTGTATTCTAGCCATATAAAGAAAGTAATTAGTAATATTTTGTATTCTAGCTGTATGAACAAAGTAATTATATACATTTTGTATTTTAGCCATGTGAAGAAAGTAATTAATAATATTTTGTAATCTAGCTGTATGAACAAAGTAATTAGATATATTTTGTATTCTAATAATGAGGCGAAAGTAATTAGAAAATATTTTGTATTTTAGCCTTGTGAAGAATGTAATGTATTACTAATGTTGAAATCAGTGGTAAAAGGTGATGATATAGCTGTATTTCAAGCCAATATGGATACAGTAGAATTATTAACATCATTAGGTCTATGTGATACATCATTACATATATTATCATCAATACCATTACCAACCAGTAAAAATGATCAAATACTGTATAAAATTCGTCAGATTGAAGCCAGTTTATCCATCATACAAAAACAGGTAACATTACCTTTTGTAAACACGTAAATAGTGTTGTGTATTTAAACCAAATAAATGGAACATACTAATTATATATGTATGATCTTTCCCTTGGCGGTAACAATCAATAGTCTACTAACTTCTGTTGCTTTACCTGAATAATCTTAAAACTCAGGTTATTAAAGGGTTTCTTTTCCTTTCTGTATGTATCAGGGACATACCTATTGCCGTTCTAATTTCCTGTCAGATGTCTTACATTAATTGCAGGAAAAATTAAACCATATTTTGATGGAAGTACTACAAATTCCATTAGCTGGAGTATGTATGGAATTACAGGAAACAACAGAAATTTAAAGGATGGAATTAGATGCCCAGATACAATAATCTGCAGTATAAGAGTTAATAAAAGAATAATCTATTTTTTATATATTAGAGTGAAGAAATGCTATTGGAGTTAGAAAACAACTTATCCTCTCAAAAAGAGACCACTGCTTGTTTTCTTCGTGGTACAACTAACAGATTATTATCAACACTATCAGGTTTTAGTCTAGGTGATAATTCTACAGATCTACATTATGCGTTAGATCATGGTCATGATGCTGTTAGACTTCATACTAGTGTTAACCATTTCTTCTTAGAAAAGAAGTCAAAAGGTAAGTTTTAATTAGTTTATAGACCATGGTTTGTCATTTTAGGTGGTTGATTTGGATCTTGAATATAGTTTTCAAAAGTACTAGAACTAAACAAAAATTGGATATTCCCATTGAATATGTATCTCAAGTAAATTTCTATTTATGTCTTTCCTATATTTTGCGGAGTCTCAAAGGCTCAAATTTGGATGGTGAGCTGTGAAGAATGTAACTGATTAGCTTAGCTAATCCCTTTCTGAGACAAGATATGATTGGTTGTACGGATGTTGAACCTCTCCTTTTAGCATCATTGAATTAACAACTATATTTAAGCATAGATATATTTAAACAGCTGATGCTGCACAATCCGAAATATCTCATCTCCTGTCGGAATGAAATTGGTTTTTCTTATATTCTAATTATTAACCATAATTGTTTGTTTTAAAGCAGGTAGTCCACACCAGAAATGGAGTATTATAATAGAAGTATTAGAATCATTATTAAACCTGGTAAAACTCTATAGATATATTGGTGATGATTCTATGGCTAAGTGTTATGCTAGAGAAGGTATTAAAACAGCTCATAGCCTACTCTTACCACGCTGGTATGTATCTGACTTTACTTATTCATAAATAAAAACAAAGCCAAAAAAATTAGGATTCTATAGTCTTGATTGAATATTAAGTATATTGACAGGGCTTTCATGATCAGAAAAATCGATTAGTGACAGGGATTTGTAAGAAGTATCCTGATTGCATTGATAATATTCATCAATAAGATACAAGAATGCAGGCTATAGAAGACTGTGGCTTCTTTTTGCACCATTTCAATTTTCTGTCAGGTATCTTAAATTCCTCACTGTATTTGATATCACTATCTCAAAAGCTGATAAGGGCTAAAAAGCTAAAACTATGCTATGCTATGACAACAGACATCTAACTGAAAATTGGAATGGTGCACATCGATGCTACCAGTGTTCCAAATACACATAGAAAACTCTTTACAATTCCTTTAGATATTAAAACCATATCTTGGTAGGAGTGTGGATGATGTTAACTCTGTATTTTTCTAATCAAAATTGTTGTATTTTATTTTTCTAGGTGTCTGTTGTTTAAGTTTGAACTTTGTAGAATTTACAGTATAACTTGTTGTTTAAAGGAAGCACAAGATGTTTTAACAGACATAGCTTCCATTCTTTATTCCAATAAGGCTGAAAAACCTGGCTTAACCAAACTTGTGTCTTATAACACCAACACAAAGAATATACCACTCAAAGATATGGCTGAATATCTTCAACGTAAGAGAAGTTTTGCTGATGATTGTTTTGGATTTGAAAGTATCAGAGATGCGGGTATTGATAGATTTAGTGTAAGTGATGTCTCAACTGACCCATTATGTGATGATATACCAGACATTAACTTACCAGACCATGATTCTAGTTGTAAGTGCATCGCTTGTAAAGACAACTCTTTACTGGATTTAACCAGTAAATACTGGTTTGTGTTGGCTGAAACTTGTTTTCACAATAAATTTTATCAACATGCAGAAACATTTTTAAGGAAGATCCTCCAAAGGTCATCTGAGATACGTCCTAAACTTTTTGAAAATCTGTTGACTATTGAGAAGAGATTGTGTGAATCAAATCAAATGATGGACAAAGTTCCAAATGTATTTAATGATATTCTTTATGAAAGTTATTGTTTATTAAGTGAATGTTCTGTTTATTTAAACTCTACTCATGAAACTCAAGAAATCTGTCAAAAAGCTTTGGATATATTAGATTCTGATGTAAGATGTAGTGTAGAACAGAATTTACTCAGAGCTAGAGTTAATATGTGTTTAGTTCAGTTACAAATGAGTGATCTGAACTTATTATCATTGCAAGAACCAGCACAATTTGGAAAACTTTTTAATTCATCTGAAAACCATGATGTGATCCAAAATTTGACCTCAAAGTTAGAAAAATGTCAACTGAACAGCATTTGTGAATCCGATCTAATGCTGAAGTCAAGAAAACAACCAGTGCGTAAAATCCAATTTGATTCTCCAGATCAACAAGATAAGAGTAGATTAGATAGCTCACTGCTAATACCCATGGAAGATTCACCTCATCTTGCTGATCATGAAGATTCAGATATAATACCTCAAAGTCCAAAGAAGATCTGTAAAGTTTTGTTTGATACTAAAACTCCTTTAAAATCTACTACCAAAAAATCTGCTTTGACAAAGAGAAAAGTTGTTGAAGAAGATGATGTTTTTATTGTAGAAGATGAAGATGTTCCTCCAAAACCAAAGGACAATCTCTCTGCTAAAACACTCTGTGGAACACCCTCAGAATTATGTGTGAAACCTAAGAGATCAGTGAGAAGCAGAAAGCCAAAAACTCAAAATGATTATATCTGTGAATTAAAAGGCAAATCTAGACATAAACTTGGTTCTATAAAAACACCATTAAAAATAGTAACTAGCTCAGAAGATGAAAATGATACAGAAGTGAAAGAAAATTGTGAACCATTAAATAAGCTTACTAAGACTAAATGTCATATTTCCAGAAAGATAAATTCTACCGCTACACCAGGTATGGCTAAATTAAAACTTGACGAAGTTGAAACCAGTGTAAAGAAAAGACAAAGCAAAAGATCTACAAAAAAGACTGTTGTTGAAATTGGTAACAATGAAGAAAATACTGTGGTAAAACCAATTAAACCGAGCCGTAGTACCAGAAAGAACAAACTAGAAACCCCTCGTAATCCGACCAAGGTGAGGTCAGGCAGTTCAACCACTCAGGCAGTTGATGTGTGTTCTCCAATTGTCAAAGATGTTTTTAATTTTGATGAAGAAGAATCACCAGTTAAACCTAAACGTAGCACTCGTAAGAAAGATATTAAACTTGGTAAAAAGACTAAATCTCAAGAAATAGAAACTGAAAGATGTAAGGAGGATACCCCAGAAAAACAATTTAGTATAGATTTTGAGACTATTCATGAAGTATCACTGGATTCGTCACTCCTGGAAGGTGAAGAGGATTATGATATTGAGATATTGAGAGGTAAAACTAGAAGTAGAATTAAAGATAAAGGTACACAGTTAGTAGAAATATTGAGGTCTGGAGTAGAGGATGATGTAAAAAGACAACAGTCGGTGACAAACCCAGGTAATAACATTACTTTCTAATACATTTTGTCTATGTCATAGTATTAAAAATGAAAAAAAGAAAGTCATATAGTGACAGTCAAATCGTAATTTTACCTTTTTCAATGCTTGTATTTCTGCTCTTTATTTTTGTGAATATGGTGAAAATTTTTGTAAAGAGTCTACTAAAGTATTGGAATTAACCTGTACTGTGCATAAGAATAAACTTATGACTAGTACAACCTTGACAATCTTCCAAATAAGTCATGTAACTTGCTGCCAAATTTGATACATTTTAATGTCCCTATCTTCAAATATAGAGCTAGTGAAAATAATTTGTGTCAATATTATTTTATTGTAGATAATAATGAAGAGATTATAAAGAAATTAGAAATGTCATACCAACAAGTTTGTCATTTTCCTTCCAATCCTTATTATCCAGTTATCTGTAAACTATTAGCTTTACAATATAGAACTCTTTCACCTTATAAAACAGCATTTTATCTGACAGAATCAGCTGCTGTCACTTTTAGACATCAGACTTTAATTGATATTGGCAAGAAAATAAGGTAAATATTGTTTAAATCAAGCATGATATATCAAGTGTAGCAACTGAAACGTCTTGACATAATTAGTATAGAAGATGTATATCCTTTGATTTATGTCTTATTAAATAATACACTTTGCAAACGTAGTACTGTAATCAAAAAGCCTTTATTACAGAGTTTCTTGAGTAAATTTAGAGGTGCTAGAGTGCTACAGGCCTTACATGCATATCATACGGTAGAGTTAAACCCTGGTAAATTGAAAATGTATTGTCTTGTTTATAAATTTGATGAAACAAGCTTGCTCTGGAAAGCTATGTATGCGGAGAAAGACTGAATATCAAGCTAGTGATCATATGAATGTTGAGCCACTCTACAAGTGCTGATGTGCAAAGAATGCTGCCAGAAACCCAGTTTTACTTTCAACCTCTTACAGATTATTATTGAAGTAAACTTCTCTGTTGTAGAAATATAAAGAAAGGTAAAGAAGATAATATGACGAATAGTGATCAGAAATTACAAGTTTATGATAATGTACGACAATCATTGATATTTAATAAAGAAGAAAATCATATGATAGACATGTTAAATCTTCTACCCTCGGGTAAATTTGTAAACTTATTTTCTTTCATTTTGAAGTTTCTTGTATTTCTCTTCTCTTTTGTTACTTTTTAATTTTCTATTGCTGTGATTAATATTTGCCTTTATTGATTACTGCAGTGCTATAGTTTTGAAGCAATATAGTATATAAGTTGCTTTCATGACATTATTAACATTCTCTATGCAGGTAATACTAATATCATTATAAGATAGCCTGCCAGGCTAGGTAATATACGCCCACTGATAGCTTTGTTTGAAATTGAATATTTGTTAGAAAATAGCAAACATAGACACCAGGAAATATTCAACTTATACCCAAATCCATCACAAACTGTGCCATCACAAGTTAAAAATCAAACACATTTGTAAGAATAACGGCAATAACTTGTATTTTATATTTCAAAAGGTTTAGTTTTGATTGTGATCAATTTCATCAAGTTGTCAAATTTGTTTTAGACTTCTGCTTTGTAGAATAAAAATTACGTGTTTTACAAGATTTTTGATCAGATTTATCCTTGGGTGATTTCAATAAGTCTGTCATGAATTGTGTATGTGCAGATTATATTCAAGCAAATTAGGTTGAAATATTTTTTTAAAAGTTTTATGTATCGAGTTTATGACAGGTGGGAGTTGCTAATATTTACCACCTTTTTTCTCCTGTTGAATTTAATCTTTTTATATCCTTACATTTTTTTTCTCGAAGATTTGATTAGTTTGCATGAAATGCAATGGATTTGTAAGTATACTTGATTGCAGCTGTCTTGGCTAATAAGGACAAGAAAAGAATTGAATTTTACTATTATGACAGTCAAGAATTGTGCCTCCTAGAGGCGTTTTCAAGAACAAGGGCAATAATTCATACTACATATTTTTCGATTTCGCTGATTTTCTATAGGGTTTATCCTTGGGCGAATACGAACACTCATACCAAGTTTCGTTTAAAATCTGTCAAGAATTGTGCCTTTTAGAGTGTTTACGAGCTAAAAATTGAACGGTTTGCAAGAACAAGGGCAATAATTCATACTAAATATTTTTCGATTTCGCTGATTTTCAATAGGGTCTATCCTTGGGTGATAACGAACACTCATACCAAGTTTCGTCAAAATCTGTCAAGAATTGTGCCTTCTAGAGTGTTTACGAGCTAAAAATTAACAAGGGCAATAATTCATGCTAAATATTTTTCGATTTCGCTGATTTTCAATAGGGTTTATCCTTGGGTGATTGCGAACACACATACTAAGTTTCGTTAAAATCCGTCAAGAATTGTGCCCTGTAGAGTGTTTATGAGCAATTGTGGACAGACGGACCGACTGACCGACCAACGGACATGGGTGACGACAATATACGCCTCCCATTTCATGTGGGCGTATAAAAATTATAATTTCCTGCCTTTCATAGTATTCATAGTATTTATTTGATTTTCATATCTAGGTTTAGTAGGATTAATCTTTATAATTTATTGTATGTATTTGTTTAGAATGGACTGTATGTCAAATATCAATGGTGGAAATAGCTGGTAAATCAAGTCAGTTATTACTAACTAGATTAACTAAAGACACCAGACCAATAACAGTTCCTTTACCAGCCTTTAGTACACAACAGGTAAATATATTACCGGCCTTTAGTACAATACAGGTAAATATATTACCAGCCTTTAGCACAATACAGGTAAAAATATTACCATCATTTAGTACACAACTCGTAATATTATTACCATACAATACAGGTAAAAATATAACCGGCCTTTGCTACACAACAGGTAAATATATTACTGGCCTTTAGTACAATACAGGTAAATATATTACTGGCCTTTAGTACAATACAGGTAAATATTTTAACAGCCTTTAGTACAATACAGGTAAATGTATTACCGGCCTTTAGTACAATACAGGTAAATATATTACCAGCCTTTAGTACAATACAGGTAAATATATTACCAGCCTTTAGTACAATACAGGTAAATATATTACTTGCCTTTAGTACAATACAGGTAAAAATATTACCAGCATTTAGTACAATACAGGTAAATATATTACCATCCTTTAGTACAATACAGGTAAATATATTACCAGCCTTTAGTACAATACAGGTAAATATATTACTGGCCTTTAGTACAATACAGGTAAATATATTATCGGCCTTTAGTAAAATACAGGTAAAACATTACTGGCCTTTAGTACAATACAGGTAAATATATTACTGGCCTTTAGTACAATACAGGTAAATATATTACCGGCCTTTAGTACACAACAGGTAAATACATTACTGGCCTTTAGTACAATACAGGTAAATATATTACCATTCTTTAGCACAATACAGGTAAAAATATTACTGGACTGTAGTACAATACATGTAAAAATATTATTGGCCTGTAGTACAATACAGGTAAATATATTACTGGCCTTTAGTACAATACAGGTAAATATATTACTGGCCTTTAGTACAATGCAGGTAAATATATGACCAGCCTTTAGTACAATACAGGTAAATATATTACCAGCCTTTAGTACAATACAGGTAAATATATTACTGGCCTTTAGTACACAACAGGTAAATATATACCAGCCTTTAGTACAATAAAGGTAAATTTATTACCAGCCTTTAGTACAATACAGGTAAATATATTACCAGCCTTTAGTACAATACAGGTAAATATATTACTGGCCTTTAGCACAATACAGGTAAAAATATTACCAGCCTTTAGTACAATACAGGTAAATATATTACTGGCCTTTAGTACACAACAGGTAAACATGTTACCAGCCTGTAGTACAATACAGGTAAATATATTACTGGCCTTTAGTACAATACAGGTAAATATATTACTGGCCTTTAGCACAATACAGATAAAAATATTACCAGCCTTTAGTAGAATACAGGTAAATATATTACTGGCCTTTAGTACACAACAGGTAAATATATTACTGGCCTTTAGTACAATACAGGTAAATATATACCATCCTTTAGCAGAATACAGGTAAATATATTACCAGCCTTTAGTACAATACAGGTAAATATATTACTGGCCTTTAGTACAATACAGGTAAATATATTATCGGCCTTTAGTAAAATACAGGTAAAAATATTACTGGCCTTTAGTACAATACAGGTAAATATATTACCAGCCTTTAGTACAATACAGGTAAATATATACCAGCCTTTAGTACAATACAGGTAAATATATTACTGGCCTTTAGTACAATACAGGTAAATATATTATCAGCCTTTAGTAAAATACAGGTAAATATTTTTACAGGCTTTGGTGAACCACTAATAATTAATATTTGTGTCTTTATGTACTATAATGGTTTTATTTAAGGGAAGAAATTTACTAGAAGAATTTTCATTTATACTTGAAACTAGTGGTGAAACAGTTAAAACTGATGATAAACATGAATTCTGGAGAAATCGTCGAATATTGGATGAAAAAATGCAGGTTGGTTTAGCATTTTGGAATTTACCCCTCTTTCCTTTCTTGCAATTAATTCTTCATCGGCCAAGTTTTTATACCCTGAGTGAAGAACCATCCACATGCTATACTCAGTGTACTTACCATTAGCAAAAAGCTGCACTAATCAGGCCAAGTAACATGTTTGTTTCATTTCAGTTGTTTCAAGAAGATATGGAGAAGTTATGGTTGGGATCATTAAAAGTTTTATTATTAGGACAACTAGATATAAATGAAGAATATAAACAGTTAGAAATTAACCTGCTGGAATTGATAGAATCTCTTTCATTTTCAGAGAATCAAAAACAGCTTATACAGGTAGAAAATGTTTAAAGCTTTGATTTCTGCTGGACAGAATCTGACTGTATGGATACTAAGAGTAGGCTAGTGAAATGTTCCAGCAAAATATCCCTCAATTAATATTGAATGGCATTGCCAGTCCAATAAGGAGCAGAATAGCAAAACATAAAGCACTTTTCATTACATTTCCTCTTTGGTATCAGGTTTGATAACGATCATAATCTGATCAAAATGTGTTTAAGATGATTCTTCATTATGAAGTGAAAATGATGTGAAATATTTCTATTGTTCTAGGTGATATTACCATTAAGTTATAATTTAAATTGTGTTGAGTTGGCTGAGTTATTATCTATAGTATTAAACATCACAGATAAAGATTTATTAAAAACACTAGTATTAAATATACAATCTATCTCACAACAAATATCATCATTCAACTATCAACATCATCATGTTATTCTTATATTAGATAAGGTTAGTTTAAACTTCAATTTCATTAAAGTTAGACCAATTTAAAAAATGTATGTGGAGCCGTGCTGGCTCAGTGAGTTAAATGTCTCATTAACCTGAAGGTCCAGGGTTTAATTCCAGCATAGGTCAAGATAATACCTTCCCGATTTCAATAAGTTGTTCACGTTAATGATCCCTCTAGAAGTTAGAAATCACAAAAGAGTAAAATAATGCCACTAATGGTAAAATTTCCCACATTGCACACTGCATGTAACACGTCTTTATATTGTTATTTTATATTAACATTTCAGAGTATACAACATCTACCATGGGAGAGTTTAAATATATTACGTAATGAATGTGTTAGTCGAGTACCGTCACTATATACTTTATCAACATTATTGACTTATATTAATACTAATAAACATAATATATTTACTACTGGTATAGATATCAATAAAACATATTATATTATTAATCCTGATGATAACCTCGCATCTACTCAACAATTCTTTGAGTCATCTTATGTCCAGTAAGTTTTGTTTTATATTGAAACTCACAGCATGTATACTATATTTGTCCTGTGATGATATGCTCATTGATGTTTTATTCTCAAATGAATGATAAACAGTAGGTAAATTTTGGGGAAATTTGAGCATGCCCTGCCTCACAAACAAAACCTACCATGTCCCGCTATGGCAATAGCAATGTGGATAGTGCATATATGTTTATCATCAAGTATATAGGTTTTATGATATATGTTAATTTTATTCAGAAAAGAAGGTTGGAAGGGAGTTATTGGTAAAAGACCAATGTCTAGTCAGTATATAGAGGCTCTTACTCAAAATGATCTCTTTATGTAAGTTCACTTTCACTTTAATGAAATGAAATTGTATCTTTTTCACAGGAAAGTGGAATTGAACAGTCATTAGACATTGAATTGTACAATATACAAAAATTTAAAGGTGAGAAGATGAGAATCAAGACATAAGCAGTAATGTGCTTGGTATTGGCAAAAATACATAAATTGGAATCTAAGAGATGGTTCCTCCAGAATTTTCAGTCTAGTTTCCTCCTTAGTTTCCCCAGTAATGTTGGTTGGATTGACCAAACTGGAAAAAGTGTTTGATCATGCAGTTGGGGCAACAAATCAATAGTTCATATAGATCAATAGATTGTAAACATTAAGGATACCTTTTCTCCAGGCAAGATTTCTAGTATTGCACACCTTACCATATTCACTAGAAGAGTAGGACGTAAGATACTAATTAATTTTATTTCTATAGTTATTGTGGTCATGGAGATGGTGTAAAGTATTTTCAAGCTGATGAAATACAGAAATTAAATTGTCAAGCTGCAGTGTTATTAATGGGTTGTAGTAGTGGATTATTAAAACCTAAAGGACAACTTGATGCTTGTGGTACTGTACTGAACTATTTCTTAGCTGGATGGTAAGTAGTCTAAATGTTCATCAATGGTTGTCCTCGATTGGTGAGTTCTGAACATGTTCGTCTGTTCGATTCTAGTTATCACTAGAAGGGTATGGAACCCAATGTCACATTTTCTCCACCTATTGAAGTTCTGCTTTTATGTCACTCATGGAAGGCATTCTGAACTTTGTTTCGACTTGTTTTATTAAACTTCTAGTTGATTCAATGAATCTCGAGCATATCTCAACAATCAAGCACCACCAAAATGTTAAGATGGATTTGATACAAAGAACTCTTTGTTGATTAGCCCATTACACTTTTGTGAAATAAAATGTAATGCTGTTGTCATCTTATAGAGCTTCATGTTAGTATTAATGTCATGGTTTGTATACAATGGATTATTTTGAAGGTTTTATGGAGAGGCAAATAAAGTTTGAACAGTACCTTATCTCTGAGGCCCTCTATCAAATGGAATGTACACCAGAAGATATTTGTCCAATGAAGATATGGAAACATTCCCTCTAGAAATAATTTGTTTTATTATTTCAGTCCGTGTGTTGTTGGTAATTTATGGAATGTAACAGATAAAGAGATAGATAGATTTTGTAAATGTTTATTAGATACATGGTTAGAATCTGAACCAGGAACCAGTATATTACAGGTTGTATGTAAAGCAAGACAAGCCTGTCGTTTATTATATTTAACTGGTTCAGCACCTATAGTCTATGGTTTACCAGTTTTTATAAGAAAATAACAAGACATATAAATTATCAAATTGTTGTTATAATGTTTACTGATGTGTATTTCTATTTCATTGTCTACTTGCTCCTTTAGATCTTATATTCAGACATATTGACAGAAATGTTAAATTCACTATATTCATATTTGGGATCATATTACTTGTTCCTGATTTTTGAAATTGTGGATAATATGGGTGAATTTGATTGAAGAGTTCTGATCAGGTTCTGTCTGTTCCAATTCTAGCCTCAAATCCAACAGTATGGAAGCAGATGTCACATACATTCAAAATTTTCCCATCTAATTCTGTCTACACAAATGCTATTTTTTTTTAAATATTCTGAACCCTGTTCCAATTTGTTTGTTTTTTTTTTTTTGAATAACTGGTTGATTCCATGAATCCCGAATGTGCAGAACTCCCCAATCAAGCAACCCTCATTATTTTTATTATTTTGGATATTATTGTATTTGTGTACATTGTATTTATAACTATTGTGCATGTATTGAAAGTTAATAAATATGAAATAAATCTTGTGTATGGAGGTTTTTTTTCTCCAAGTTAAATAATAATAAAAAACTCTTTAATTTATTATTTGCCTTATCAAACGGTTGTGGGAATTTAGAAACCCATTTCAATTTCCAAGGCCTAAGAACAACCTTCAGAACAAATGGATTCCTTTTTTTCTCGAATTGTAAAATATTTAGACAGGTTATATGATAAAAGCAGGGTATCTTTCTACCTTGATACAAAGATTACATGAGGTCATGTAGGGAAAGAAGAGTGAAAAGTACTCAGAATGAAGAATTCACTAGAATTTAAATTACATTTATTCAGTATACAGAAAACTAGCCCATACTGGAAACAGGTAACATAGTAGTGGAGCACATTTTTATAACAAGCAGTGTCAAGAGAGAATGAATATACACACTACAGGAAAGCATTTTATTTTGATATAGTACACTGATACATATTCAATTTTAAGATGTTCAATTCTATAAAAACCCTGTCTAAATCTTGGGAAAAAAGTTTTAAAATTTTGGCTGTTAATATTAATGAGAAAGTGATGAGTTTTTGAGCAGTAATTATTAAAGTTGGGATGTGAGATAGGTTTACAATATTAAACTTACAATACAGTGTGTAAAACATTGAGATTATTTCAATAGGAAATGTATTAATATTAAAATTTACAAGCATAATATAGAAATCTACATTGAATGATATATGAATAACATTACAATATTCAAGAATAATAAGTGTAAAGTCCAAAAAAACTAAAACAATTCAAACAAACAAAAATAATAACTCGCTACTTGATAATCTCAAATCTGTTTATACATCCAAACTATTTCCTCTATGAAGGTAACTTTCTAAGATTTTAAGTACTCAGTACTTGAATTTTATTGATGTTATAAATAAGCGAAAAGCAAATGAATATACAATATGTTTATAACAAAACCTATAATACACATCATCTTACTAATTACAGCAATTAGTTCTTAATGAACATTAATTAATTAATCTGATTATCACAAAAAAAAAAAAAAAAAATCATTCCCACAGCCATAACCTATTCTAATTTATGTTTGTCAAAATTGAAACATGCTGTTTGACAAACTTAACTGAAGGACAGACTAAAATAAAATATTGCATTGAGATCTCTACTGAACAAAATACAATTCAAATAAGTTTTAGATTTAAAACATGCCATATGAAGTGATGTAACAAACATTGATTTACAAATGAAATTTAAATATATAATACTAGGGAGTTTAAAAGCTTCAAGTCAAATTTATAAAAAAAATTCACAATTCATTCTATTCTCTCTGTAGTCACACTTTCCAATTTTTTTTTTAATTTCAAATGTTTTCAAACAAATCCAGTTATTTCCCCTCGTTTCCAAAATAAACCTAGCCCAGCAATAATTTAGCAAACACATTACTGACTTTCAAAGTTATGAAAAAATTTAGGTGGTTAATATAAGGCAGAAAATAAATCCAGCAAAATGAACTTATTTATAAAAAAACTAGGTTTAACTGATACTTTAAGCACAGTGTGACATAATATAAAATATTATAAAGTATTTATTCTAACATTTACTGGGTCTTGGCCTTTTTCTTCAAAAATGGTACTTTTTCTTGAACTCTGTAATAAGAAAGACATTTGGTAATTTAAAACGCTGAAGAAATTTTTTTTACTCTACTCTTTACTTGATATGTAATATCTCATATGAATGGATACATATAATCAAAATTAATAGAGTTTTTACATCCTGCTTATCTATTCCAGATAAGGCTTATGAAGATAAATCATGCAGTGTCACATGAGGCAAATTTTGTCAGTAAAGCAGCATTATTGTAGTTTTTTATCATTTCCAATGTATCTTGATCTTGGTTTATAAGCAAGCTGTAACCAAAGCTCCAGGATTGTTTCTCAAAGGGAAGGAACATTAGCTGTTTTACATGGTACTAGTCAAATATAGATTGTTTTATTTCATATTGCAGAAATTTAAACACCAATATAGATTGATATTGTTATTTAATGGTAACTTACTGAGTCATGACTTTATTTATTTGAGTTGTTGCCATACCAACATAGTTATCAATCTGAACCTATAAAAGAGGGAAAAAAAATATAATTAAATCAAATATCAAACATGCATATGTACATAAATATCTGATATCTTAATGAAATATGTAGAATAAATTGAAGGGACAGATGGGCCATTTTTTTTGACCAATCATGCCTTAGTTTCAGAAACCGGATTTTTTTTTAGCTAAACCGATCAGTATTAGTGTTTACAGCTTTCAAATCCATGTGGGTCAAGAATTATCCATGTTTAAAGGTAAAAGAAGAGTTGTCTTTTCTTGAGACACTGCCATAAATAGAAAAGACAACTATAGAAATAGAATTCTAAAGAAACTCCTAGTTGTGATATTTTTGAAGGAATTTTCATATATTTCTAGTAGTTCTGAAGACTATGTACATATATTCAATACTCAAATCAACCCCCTAAAATGGCGCGCAAGTCCCTCTACCATTCTTCTGATCAAACTTATGGAGAATTTGAGCTCCGAACTGGATATTGACTAAGCAGTCAAAAATCAAGTCAACTGATTATTTGGAGAAATATTCATACCTTGTAAGTTTCGTAGACTTTAGGTAAGGTGAAAATAGCAACAACACCTGAAAAATATAAATAGGTATTTCAGATAATGGAAAATTGATTCAGAATTCAACAAAAAAGAAAATGATTAACTGCAAAGTGTCACAAGTAATCTTAATATATTGAATGCATGGTAAAATACTCATAGACAAAGCTATTTATTATGTATAAAACATTATCTTTTTCTGATGAAATGTGAATTCCTGATGTTATAATTCAAATAGCCTTACCTAAGATGATCAAAGTCATACCATTAAACCATGAACCAATATAAGTCAACAACCAGAGAAGAATTCCAAACTGTAAAAACAAATAATTCAAAATTTTTCAATAATCTGCAAGAAAACTTCTTTATTCTAAACATAAATTAATTATATGAGAAAATGTATTTTTAGCACACATATCATATTGAATTGAAATGAAAGACTTTTCATACATTTACGATGGTACCCTATTGTTTTTTTTTTTAAATGTAATTAAATATATTGACATTCTACTAATTCATCCTGAAATATAATGAAATATATTGGAACCAAGAACGTCCTCTTTGGTTTTAATATGTAATGAAAGACATCCTGATTTGTCTTGAAATGTAATTAAATATAATGACATCCTACTTGAAATGTAATGAAATATATTGACATATTACTGATTTGTCTTGAAATGTAATGAAATATGTTGACATATTACTGATTTGTCTTGAAATGTAATGAAATATATTGACATATTACTGATTTGTCTTGAAATGTAATGAAATATGTTGACATATTACTGATTTGTCTTGAAATGTAATGAAATATATTGACATATTACTGATTTGTCTTGAAATGTAATGAAATATATTGACATATTACTGATTTGTCTTGAAATGTAATGAAATATATTGACATATTACTGATTTGTCTTGAAATGTAATGAAATATATTGACATATTACTGATTTGTCTTGAAATGTACATACATTCAGGACTCAAATCAACCTCCAAAATTGCACATCTGTCCCTTTAATACTATGTAATATAATGATAATGATGAACAATTATCTGAAATGTTTTTGAAATGTAAGACATGGAAAATTTATTGATAGAAATGTAATGAAATGAGAGTTTTGGTGGGTACGCCTAACAACATAAACAATAATAATAAGGGAATGATTGCTAGTAATAAAAATAATGTATTTATTCTATAATAGAATCTATATATAATAAGATTAGAACTAGATTATACCTTGATACTATCAACTAAGTCTTCAATCAGAAATAATCGTCTCACTTCTTTAGCAGTACAATTAATATGACTTAAAATAGTCTCCACTGCTGGTTTAACTTTATCTTCTGGTAATTCTAAGTCAGCTTCAAGATACTGCCTGAAATATTTTCAAAAAAATAAATTTCATTGTTGACATCAGTAGATTCAAATATCACCATATACCCTACTGTTTCACCAAAAATATCTGAAAATTGATAATTAAACCTTTTTCAATATGATCAGTTTGCAGTAAGGATAAATTTGGATGGTATGATTTCTTTGCAACGGTCCCCACTCATAATAAATTTAGCAGTTTCAAAGATATTTTGCAGCTTCTTAATGCAGTACATTAGCTAAAGCTAATATTATTTAACCATTGCTAAATTAAACTCTTCTCAGATTATTTTTTACACTTAAAAACAAATTTGTTAGCAATAATAATACAGCTAATATACAGCTCCTTAATTTCAGTTAATTAGGTAAGTCGATTAAGAGTTTAAAGTATATCCCTAAAGAATCTATCACTATCAATATCATGATTCTAGCTAAGTCATTATTCTTATAATGTGTCTGGGTCATTTATACATGAATTACTTGAAGAAGAAGAAAATTCTATTGACTCAACAACTTATCTTCATGACTTGAATTAAGCTGTGAAACTGTTTGGTTGAAAACTTTATAAGTTTATTGGGGCAGGTCAAGGATAAAAACTGACAATTTTTTAAAGAAATTGTTCAAGGGAAGTGAATATTTCTAGAATAGTGTTAAGTCCAAATTGGGTTTAGGAGATAAACAAAATAATAGAGCCTATTCATTTAAAAATAACAAAATTTCAAACACCACTACAAATGGAAACAACAGATTCTAGTGAAGGTTCATGCAAGGTACTGATATTAAACGAAAATGAATATCATGTTCTAATAAATATTAGCAATATGGCAGTACAATGACCTTCACAACCTATTAGGTCAGAATTGAAAAGAAAAACTTCTACTGGATAGTTGCAGTAAACTAAATTTTTATTAATGTTCTACATTATACAGACTTGACTTGAGAGTGAGCTAATTGATTTTCTATTGAGGGTAATAGTGATAGAATTAGGTTTATTTATAGTTTCAGATCTCTACTGGCATTCCATTGATTATAGATAGAATACAGGTCTGGTTATATCACAATGTTAATTATATAATTATACTCCACTTCTTCTATTTATCATAATTATAACCCACCAGGTATGTTTCCTTTATTTAGCAAGCCTTTAAGTAAGGTTTCAGCTTTATTGAAAAAACTTTAAAAGTTAATCTTGCTACACTCTTTATATAATTTAGCTAATTAATCCTTTTTTTTTTTTTTTTAATAGGTTAAAACTTTTTATAAATTAAAAATCTTTCTCTTGTTTCTTTTTTGGAAACTAAATACTTAACTAAGTAAATATAACTTTGTTGATTGGTCTTCAGCTCTTTTGAGCAGTAAAAAGACATTTTCAAATGATGTTAGCTCCCTAAGGGAAAAGTGTAAGACCTGATAATGTCAACCAACTGACCTATTGATCATAACAATCACTATTTTATTAGCTAATTATAAGTTCATCATGAGACAATTCTTGGACAAACTGGTATTTTTCTCTCATACCTCATATACTATTAAGTATTAACCTTCTAATAACTTAATAAATGACTAGGGGACAAATATAAATATAAGAACATCCTAAACAGCAGGTAAACAAGGCATGGTAAACTGACATTTTCTCTATGGTTCATATTCAGAATGGGTGTAGCTACATTATATATTTTATCATCATTTAATCTCATTAAATTTAGAGAAATACTTATTAAGAATAGATTTATGAAGTATAATGTATTAATTTCACTCACTTGAAAGGATGTCCCTCATTGCTCTTCTGTACAGCTCCCATGATGTTTTTGTACACTCGGAAACTAAGTGTAACAGTAAGCAATGCCAATGACAGATAAGCTACAACGCTTAACACTGAGAAGAAGGCAAGAGACAGGAGTAGAAACATCATGCTACCAAACACCACTCCAGTTTTTCTTACATCTCTCCAGTAGATCAAATCCAAAACTGAAACAGAAAACAAACTTTCTTCAGAATATATAACAATTCCATTTTGTTTTTATCTATTTCAATAAGTAGTAAAATAATCATTCCTTAAATCTAATAGGTTAGTTGATCATGTTCATTATTTTAATCAATAAAAATATTTAGTGCATTTCTTAACAACCTAGTAACATAATAACAATTAACATCACACAAAATCTTCAACTTCAAATTTACAATAATAAAACATTTCAAAACTAACAAAATAATATTTTATCCCATTCAATTTAATACAATAAGCAAAAATGCTGATCATCTAGGTACTAGTATGCCATCAGGTTTTTTTTTGCAATTCATGCATTCATTAACTAACAAGATCAAAATTTCATTAGCATTCTGCCATCCATTGCCCAAAACCACCACAATGACATATTTAGATCAAATCTTAAATTCAATATCGAAAAATGAAAACTTATCCAAATGGGCCGAATAAATGTACACTAATGAAATATTGTAAAGCATTTGCATACAGACAATCAGGGTTGATTTTAGTCTATTATGTAGATTTTACATTCACAAACTATTTTAACAAATTAAACTACAGGATAGGATAGATATTGTAACATCAAATCCATGATAAAGCAAAGATCATATAATGAATGTTGGTCCTTTAGGGGTCAGGGGTCAATTTTCAAAAGAACATGATCTTTTATTCAAGTGTAAGTAGTCAGTGTTCATTTATGTAAGTATCAAAAGAAAAGGAAGCAATAAAAAATTATTCTACAAATATAACAGTGACAAGTTTTTGTAATTTTTTTTATTGTGAATTGTGTAACCTAGACAACCACTATAATTACTATAATGTAAGTTATGAGTCACTATCAACCACTGTACTGTAGTATTCTCATAGTAAACTTAACAGTATGCAGTGTTATTGTAGTGAAAACAGTAATACCATATAATTATCAATTAGGAACAGATGGACTAATATCTTCACCCATCATGTATTAATATTTTATTAATGGTAAAAATAATGTTCTAAATAGTAGGAGTTTCATGTCTTATCATTATTCAACTATGAAATAAACTACGATATCATGTGAACAAAGATTTGGCCATAACACTGACATAAGTCTTCTCTGTTCTGATTTGTCAAGGAACCGTGAATAGCCTGTAGCTCAAATGTTTTTTTTTGTCTCATGATCATAACTTATGTCAGTCATCCCAACATACATCTCAAAAGTCTACATATTCAGAAATTCAAAAGTTATTCAATTATGTATTTTTAGCCACCAATTTTCCAAAGGAATGGGAATCCATCTTTACAACCTTTGAATAAATTTGATTGTCCTGTTTTATAAAGATAAGTAAACCATACTAGCAAGTTTTCAATTGATGTATAAATATAAAGAGATAAGTTCAGAACAGTACAGAACAACTCATCATTCACTAATCAATTTAATCATACTTAAAAAACACATTCATACTAAAACAATCATAGTATAATGTTAAAGAATTTCTTAATGAACTATGTTTTTTAGAGTAAGCTATGCATAAAGTACTTGTACAGTGTAATAGCTGAACTATTTATAACAGATGATTTCTTAGTCTAAATAATGATGAAAATTTGTGAGAAAAGAAGAAACAACTTTTTTTTTACAAGGATAATGACTAAGATTTACCTGGATCTACCAGATGGTCCTTTGGAATTGATCTTTCCTGATTATCCATACCTATTTACATCTTGGTCGACTGGAATAATCAGGAAAACCAATCCATTATCACACAAATATGCATAATAAGCATCAATGTTAATAAACCAAATCAGGTCAAAACAATAGGCTTTTGGACATTCACAAGTTCATTTTGATTTATTTAAACTAGACAAGGGCAATTACTCAAAGACCTCACCAAAATAATAAAAGATAGCAAGTCCCTTCAATTTGAGATATATACTTTCTTCCAGATTCATTTGTATGAACGTAGCGAAGGCAAACAACATAGTTATATCCATATGATCCATGTTATAATATAATAGTGCTCATTGCCATACATTCTAATTGACTACTGATTAGAGTTACATATATAGTCTTTAATCAGAAACGCTGATAAGATTTACCATATCAATGTACATAGGTCAGATAATGATTGGGGCATGAGGTCTGTCATCATTATCATAATCCATACATGCTCTACAAGCAGGTTTCATGTAACTTAGATTTTCTGTTTTCACCATCTCCAGTCTGTACCTTAACCTGAAAGTTGTCTATTTCTAACAATAATTGGTAAATGTAAAGTATGAGAAAATAATTAATTGGTCATGTGTAATTAAGCTTATTTTTTTTTAACTTGCAATGGAAGTATATAATCAACTATTAAAGTGTGTAGTCATCAGAAATTGAATTCAAAGTAGGATTTTCTATCTTGATCGAAGCTGGTTTTCTACTGAGTTTTGTATAACCTCGTCCTAAGGCAATAAGCTAGAATTTTATAACACACATCATTTTTAAGTAATTTTTTTTTCAGGTGCAGATCAAAATAATATTTCTTATTAAAACAATCAAAAGTATATAATGGTTAAAAGGAATATTCTGAGTCTTGTGTTAGAATCAGAGCACACTCCTGCTATTCAGATTTGATATCTGTAAATAATGGCGTCGGATGATAACAACAAGCTGTTAACAGTTAGAAATTTGAACATATCTTCAGCTATATTTCTTCCTTTTCAATCAGTAGGATACACAAATACTTGACTTTTAGAGAAAGTTCATCAATATACTGATCAATTTGAAAGTGGATGGTATGTTTTGCCCGAAATGTCCTCCAACACAATCCCTTTTGTCATTGTATGATGTTCAGAGTAGCTATAATTATTTGAAGTAACAAGTGTCTCTAGGTATTTGGGTCAGTGGCTCAACTACCAAAAGGACTGGTTGAACCAAGTCAGCCCACCCTAACCCCTAAAAGGAGCCCCCATCCCCAGAAAAATTGTACAAATGGAGCGGAGACCCAACCCAATTAAGTCCACAGTCCCCTACCCATCTAGTTGAGCCACTGAGTTGGATAAACAGATAGGTTTGTGTCAACTCCTGTTTTGGCATGATTGATTTCTGCCATTCTACCATGACAAAGTGTGAATCAAGAACAGAAGATAAATATAGAATGATAGTCAATGATTCACAACAAGTCAAGGATTCAAACACATGAATAAGCAAAGTATCATGATGGCATGAAACAAATCAGATTTTTATCAGATTGGAAAAAACTACCCAGCCATTTGAGAGGTCAGGCTGGTATTAATCAGATGTCTACTATAATACTTAAGAATAGAATGTCGAATATTTCTATCATCTATCATCTATTTATAGTTATATCATTCTTTACAAAATATAACAGACACATTTAGCTCAGTAGATTTATATCTCTTGGCTGTTTGTATTCTAATTCTGACTTGAACCACTGATTCAATTACAATCATTAACCTTGTAGGAACTGTATTATCCTAAATCAGAATATAAATGACTAGTGACATTAATGGTATGAATTGAAACAGATAGCAGCAGACACAACAAATGGCAGGCCTTAACAGAATTATGGATTTCAATATTTTCTATTAAAAGATAAAGATTGCATACTAAACTTAAACATATGCATTGCTTTGCCTATACGACATGACCATAACAGACTGTGGTGTATAAACATCACAATGTCATGTGAGGTTTACAGGTCAAACAAGCATGATATGCTATGCACAAGTTTTCTATTGTCAGAGGGATCTTTAACGTGCACATCCTATTGTGATCTTGTACCAAATCTTGTATCCAAATATTAAGGTACGCAAGTAGTCATTTTGTTCTTTGAATCTCATAAAAGTATCTGGAGCAGAAGTAAACAATGATTATGTCATAGTACACAATGATTCCTGTCCATTGATTGGTTCGGGTAATTGGCAAGGTTTATTCAAAACAAACCCATGTATTATTATTAATTTTTTGTCCAGATATTTTATTAACATTTATTTTTAAACTGCTTCATAATTATCAGATATTTTTTGTAAGAATATTTACCATGCTAAGGAAGCATCTTTGGACATTTTTAGTTTTTATTTAATTCTGTGGTTGAAATTCCCACAAAAGGACTTTGAACAAGTTCGGAGAATGACATAATCAATGTTTACATCCGCTCCACATACTTTTATTTGAAAAAAATAATTAGGATATTTCGATAAAATACATGTTAAACTGTACAAGTGATTTTTTGTTGTTGAAAGAAATACTTTACAAGGCTGTCTGAATGTCAAATCATATAAAGAAAAGTTAGAATATCAAAGGAAAAATGAAAAAAAGAAAAAAAATCTCTGAGTAAAATAACAAAAAGAAAAGCATTTGGACTATGGGCGGCGCCATTTTGTTACATTGAATGTTCCTCCAGTGACTGCCCACTCTGACGCCTCAAGTGTAAACAGCATTTATCAAGTGGCACATGTGAAAGGGATCCGGCCCGATAGTAATGTAAACTGGGCTAAAGACCCAATCAACCCCGAAAATGGCCAACTTATCTCTTTATAGTCCTTGTCAATTTCATATTAAAAGATGAAAGAAGAAATAAAGATGAGTATCTTTAAGTTAAGTATTGTTTTTAACTGAGGTCAATGAACACATTCAGTAAGTACTAAATATATACATGTGGTAGGTCAACTAATACTTGTTATATATCTAATTGTGTAAACAACAATACACATGATATACCATCTTTACAATACTCATATATCATTACCGACTTCCTACAAGTATTATTGTTATAAACAGATTGGTATTTAGTCTAAATTTACCATCCTACACATTACTAATATCATAGTACAAATAGTCAATACACTGTGAACTCTAGTACTCAATACTGACATTACTGACATATGTAGCCACTTGAATACCTAGACAATAAATTATTAATCTCATACAATATGACATCAATCAGACATCAGGTGAAGTCAGCATGCTCAAATCATCTTCACAAGTCAAGTCTTCAAGAAATGGAGCGAAATGGGAGTTTTTGTACCTTAATGGTTGTTAGTTCCATCTAGTATTAATAGTAAATTTGTCCAGTAAACAGTATTTGAGATTTATAAACATATTGCAGAAGAAAACATCTGCAGATTTGAAGACTGGTGTGGAGTCCAGAATTAGGATGAAAGTTCAGCAATAATGTTGAGGAAACTAAAAGCATGATTGAAATTGCAAGCGATAAACAGTTGTCCTAAGGTAGAAGTTCTAAAAGGGAAGAGAGCAAGATATATGGTAGAGAGTGAATGGTGGATCTCAGGATTAAAATTTAGTAGCTTTGTGTCTGTACTTACAAACATTGTGATACCTTGAAGAGAGAGAAGTATTTACATGTGTAATGATTGATACCCTAGTGCTGAATGAATCGAATGAATGTACTGCCTATCTCTTCAGTCTAGACTTATTACATCAATGAATGATATAAGGTTTTACATTGACAGAGATGAGAGTTTTGTTTAATATCAAATTAAATGGTCAGGTGTTAAAGGGACAAATGCACTATTTTAGGAGGTTGATTTTGGTCTTAAAAATATGTAAATAGACTTCAGAAGTTTGCAAATCGCAAAACTCCTTCAGAAGTATCTCAAACTAGGAATTTTACTCACTATTTCTATATATGTCTTTTCTATATTACAATGCAGATAATTCTGGACACACATGGATTTGACAGTACAAATTTAGACCGTGAGCTGTGAACACTGTTACTGATTAAGAACTACATAAGAATCATTGGTTATAACCACGTTTTAAAATACAGTAGTTATTTTTTGCCTTTCTCAAACATGCTTGTCATATTATGGCGGTGCCAGCTCTAACACCATGAAGGTCCCTTACCACAAATTTTTTTTTACACAAAATTACATCATACATGCCAAATTTTAATCAAATGTTCATATTAATGACATGTTTTATGAAATGAACCAGGGATACCATATTGGATACAAACAGCTACTTCTGTTATGTAAAATAAATATATTTAGGCAATATCAATATTGTTAATAATAAGAAGAAAGTATGTATTGATATAAGAATAATGGCCACATGTACATGGGTAGTCAAACATATGGTACGTCAACCAACATATTATTATTCAATGTCAATCCCAACCTAACAAATCTCAACATTTTAAATTTCTAGCATATTTCTTTATCTTAAATAACCTGTTCTAAATATATTTTCACCTTTACTTTTGTTAGCATCAAAATTTATTTACTTCAGCTCACATGTAACATATTCATATAAACTTATTCATTTTACAACAATTGCATAGATCTAATTCAAACCCTTCAAAAAGATTGTCATATTTATTTTATAAAAATCTATATGACTACATCTCAACTTATTATATCACAGGCTGTTTGACATCATATTATAAAAGTTGAATTTTCAAAGAAAAGACCATATGGAAAATTAATACAACACACCTCTAGAAAGTAAAATTGTACAAAACTTTCTATTAAAAGTGAATTGTTGTCAATATTTTACATACCACATTGAAAAGGACTAGGGGGTCCCTCAGGTTCCTTTGGGGCATCATTAATTGTACTATCAGCCTTACGTCTATTGTTACCCATAGTTGTACGTGGCTCCTACTCTCTACAGAGTTGAATGAGAAAAGAAAGATAAGGACAAATTGAGCGAATATGGCCTCAGGTAGGTCAAGGGGCAAACTAGGACAAATATGACCTATCTATATATAGATTTAAATTCCCAGCTACAGCATGGTTTAATTGGAGTATTTAACAGGTGTAGTAGGTACAGTATATCTTTCATTATATATAAATTATGGGCATTGATATTAGATGATATATCCTATTTCCTTGTAAATTTGCTTTCAATTTCTCAATAATTTCACTAACTTGAAAACCTATTACATATATGCCCTATAACGCTTAATTGATACAAAAAAGTGAAATGGTGATTATCTTAAACCCTTTATTTTGCTAATGAACCCCATTTAGTGACCAGTGTGCAATAAGGGAATGCAGAACAGCAACATTAGCCAATAACATGCAAGAGACCTATCTGAATGACGAGATTCACAAAATAAATTACTGCCACACTGGATCAAACAGAACTCTTGTACAGTTGTCTCTTTCTGTTCCATATGAATTTGTCAAAAATCAAAAAATAGCCAACTATCAGCAAATATAAGCTTCAGATGCCATTCACAACAAAATTAAACAGGCAATTAAAAAAAAATACTAAACACAATATGATGAATTTCCAAATGCTATAATCAGAAATGCAACAAAAACTAAAAAAGACTAATTCAAATCAAAGCAAAATCAAGACACATGCCATCAATATCAACTTACTGAAAGAAAAATCAGCTTCAATTTCAGGAATAAAATCTGTTAAATGTAAACAAATGTGACAACAATTATGTTAAAGAGTAAAAAAATTAAAGAAAGTCATAGACGACAGAATTAAATTTCCATTGAGAAATTAAAAGAAAAGAGTAAAACAAATGAGAACACACTAACTGCAACATGCATTGAGTTAAATTTTCTGTAAATAACTATATATTATAATAAAAAAATAATATTTAATTACTTAATTAAAATGTCCTGTTCTAAATTGAAAGTAAAAAGGTATAGAGGATTCTTATGGCTATTATTCTTATCTACACTATTTCAATTTCTAGATCTAGAATATGCAATTTCCCAACACATCAATTTGAGAAGACATTACTCCCTGATCTATTCTTAGATTCTTTTATTATGCATGCTGTGATCAGTAAAATTCAGTTCTCTGTATCATTTTACAACAGAATTACAATCTTCCTATTCAATAAAACCATAATTTACATGGAAGTTTTATAAATACGACCATTTCCAGACTGCTATAAACACATGCAGATGTTATGGATTCCATGATACCATTGATCACAATCGCCCTTAAGAAGATTAAAAAAAGCCCTGGAAATGATGACAGTATTTTAAATTAAGGCTATATTTTTGGGTTTATTTGTACTGGATCAAATGTTGAATCTTTATTTTGAGAAGAGATTTGGATAACTGAATTTGTGTTCTTCCAGGTGGTTAAAGCAATATTTAGACATTATTATCCTGTTAAGTTCTTTCTACCATTAAATAGACAATGTCTCAAGACAATATAAGGCTAGACAAAAGATACATTTAATCAAATCAATTTAAATATAAATTTGTATATGTACATACAGATATTGAATTGATTTTAATTTTAATGTATCTTTGGTATATTGCATATCTGTTGTCTGTGTATGCATGTTAATGTAACAATTAGGAATGTAAATGTTCCTTGCCAACATTAAGCCATTACAGTTTACAGTATAGAACCTGAACAATGGGATATTTTGAATAATTTATATACAGTATTTTCACTCAACCAGAGTTCCCTAATACTAAAATCACTGATTTCCTATACTCAATTATCAATCTGAACATCGTTCCATAACTTTTTACATAAAATTTTTACTTTGAAATGGATTTGACTGGTAAAATTTCATGCCACTAGTTTTTTCAATTATTATTCCTCTTCTAATTAAAGAAATACAAATTAAATTGATATAAAAATTTGAAACCTTATAAAAAAAAATGTTTTTGTTTTATTTTTAATTTATATTTTGGAGAAGCTCATGAACTATAATACATGTTTTAATATCTATCCTACTCATTCTAAAGTGTCCATGTACAATATAACATTTACATAGTGGCATTGAAAAATCAATAAATAGGTCAAATACTGGCACACTATGACCTACATTCCTTATATTGACATTATAGCCTGATACTGTAGATAATTTCATTGTGGTTTTTAGTACCAGTAATTTATCTCAACTTAGTACTTAGTCTGTACTAATCTTTTACTTTTCAGCAGTCAACCAGGATTTTCAGTTATGCTTTTGTGCAATATTTCAAATGAAATTCCATAATTTTCAGGTGTTAATACTTATTCTTATACAAACAAAATTAGGAATCATTTTTCAGAGTGATGAGTCACCAATGCAGTATGGTAGAGTTTTTAACCTACCGATAGCTATTGGAATAGTACTCAGAAATAAAATATTTTACTGATCTACACTATTAAATCATGTCTTTCTCAGATAATTTCAAACACAGATTTCCAAGAAAATGTAGCATGTTCAAATAACACTACGAGTTAGATCAAACTATTCCTATTAATTCTATGTTCCTCCAAATTTTGGACAAAAGAAAATGAAAACGTCAAGCTATCCCAACTCTTCAGTATAGGTACCTCAGTTATGAATAGACAAAATCAGATGTCCAAAAGAGAGGATTCTATTGCAAAATTGCATTTTGAGCACAAAGAAAGTGTTCCATCATTGTCTATCATAAATTTACATTTAACACAGAATTTATTTTGAATTGTGTCAAATGCATCTGTCATCTGACAATTTGTAGACTAACAATTGATTAATCCCTTTTAGAATACACAAATTTCTTAAAAAACAATAAGATTACTATAACTAATGAATATAACTCACCTCTTGGATCTACATTCTTCATCCATGATCCTAGAAAATAATAAATAAATAATATGTTACAGAAGAATAAATTTTACCTTTTACATGATTCCTGCAAAATACTAGTAGTATATAAAATTACATTGAAATCGTGCACAGTTAATCTTCATTTATATATTATGATAAGCGTGCTTCAGGTAGCTCAGCAAAAAGCAAAGAATAAAGCTTATAAATGTGAATAATATTGATGCATCTTATGAGAAAATCTTAGCATTGAACTTCAATTCTAAAAAAAGTAGAAGACAAAAAATAGGAGGCTAGCTCAGCTTGTTGAAGGTGAACAGGGGTATTTGGGATCAGGGCTGTCAAGAAAAAGAGTAAGCTTACAAACAAGACCCTCACATGAAAAGAAAGAAATGTTGATAGTAGAGTAAGAGATAGACTTAATCAGGAATTTTTTTTTTAAATATAGTACTTAAATAACATATATCTCTGACATTTTATTAATTGGAACTGAAAATACAGTAATTAATTAGTGTGTTTAGTAAGTAACAAATCAAATTGTTTTCAAGTGTTATAGAGCAACTCAGCAGGAGCATAAATGATCGGGTCGGTTTTAATTCCACATTTCATAATCTGAAAAATTGTACAATGTGAATTAAAATGATAATGGATGGGGTAGTCAGATTTCAGTTTGACGATTACAGTTAAAAACAGGCATTAAAAATATTCTTTCCAAAGACAACAAAAATGTAAAATTAACATTTGACATTATGCAGGAAAAAATAATAAGTCTTAGTGGTCAAATTGATAAGTTGCCAAGTCATTTAAGGAAGAAATTATGAACCTTATGCAATCATGACAAGCTAGTGGCTTAAACTATATAAGATTACTCAATCCATTCATTGATAACAGGTATATCAAAGGTTGAGTTAACAGGTCATCAATCTTTATTATAATGATTATCATAATCCAGATTTATCAAACTTCATATGATTACATAATATTATTCTTGATTCTGGATTGAACTCAATCCAGGTTTTAGATATGGCGAATGAACTTTGACCATGTCACTATCTAAACATAGACAGCTTTCATGACATTGCAAATGTACTGAATTCAACCATTCATCGGAAAAGGATTAAATTGAAGATTTTCTTTCAGCTTCAAAACAGTAGTGATAGTCTTGGAATAATTTTCCTATTCATGTTATCTGCCTAGTCATTCTAAGAATGAAAAATATTATTTTGAAGCTGATATTCCAATTCTATAAGATGACCAGTATACATGTATTTGATTTACCACCGAATGCGGGAAGAGAGTAGCTCAAATAAAGTCATGATAATGGTGCACATATCACCAATCGGTCTATTTGCTGAATTAAGATACAATCATTAAACGAAAAAGAAATTAACAAAATAATCACTAGTGAAACAAATTAACAGTTTTATATAATTATTTCATAAAATGAAAGAAACCTAAAAGAAGGTGAAGCATGCAAACAATAAACAAACAATTGCAGGCAAAGTGCAAATGGTCAGACAGAAAAGCTATTCACCAAGTGTTTGTGTCATCCATTCAGGCAAAGCTATAAGAAAGTAGCACAGCAAAATCAAAATACAGAAAAATGATTTTTTCATATTGAGCAGTACAAGTACATCAATGTAAGCTAACAGTTGGTACTCTAGACAATTATGATACTTAAATATACCAGTCATTAAAAGAATAAGAAAATGCTAACTGATTCAAAGCAACCCAAAGCATCTTCAACGCAAATTTGGTCATGGCATAAGAGACTGTTACAACATCAGTCTATCCTTAAAATGAAAAATTTTAATTTACCAACCCATTTATACCAAGCTCAATAAAGTACATTATTACCATATGATTTGAAGTATCGTGACAAGTGCATATAAGCTTTGACAAAATGAAAAAGTATTTAAAGCAATTCACATATACAAAAGGCATCTTCACAAGATAAATCTATCAAGTTTATAAGGACTACATAGTATTTAGTGGACTAGATTAGAAAATATCATTGTGGTTCAAATGGTTTGAAATAAAAGCAATTGAAGCTTAAAGCACAACAAAACTTAGTCCATATACATAAATAACAAAGTTATAGATTAAATGAAAAACAGATATTTAGTACTAGTAGGGCTATCTTTCAACAATTAGTGGCTTACTCAGTATCAGTGAGTCTATATCAACAAGTTATGCAGACATAGAGTGCTCCTTACCTATATAGAATTAACCAGTCTATAAGAATCTAATTATGAGTATGACATAGTCCAAGATATTCCATAAAATTTGAAAATCAATAGAGGAATATTAGGATAGCCTTTATGTAGTTTATTATAGTGATAGTTTACAAGCATTGAATAATAACTTGTAGGCCTACTGTACCAGTCTTTGTGCAAGCTAAGACAGTGTCTGATTTGATTTCAATACCAGCATGCTTGACTTCATAAAAGCTGTTACGAATGAAATTATAATAACAAAAATTTGTTTTCTAAGCATATTCTACCTAAACATGCCTTGCTATAATTTTGATAAATGAGACATTGAATCCAATGCCACTATCTACGGTAAACATTTATAAAAATGATGATATTGATAGGCCAAACAACATAATAAATTTACCTTCTGACTTGGTTTCTTCATGTGTCACTGATACTGATTTAGGCTCTGATTTCATATAGCTCGGCTCAGGGGTGGGAGGTGGGGTAGGGTCATGGGTAGTGGCTGGAGGAGGGGAGGAAGAATCTACACCAGTACTTGGCGGATTAAAAAAGTTAAGAGGATTTGAACCAGGTTCTGAAGATGTTTCAGTACTTTCAGTTGGGTATGAAGGTTCATCACCAAAAGAAATAAGGGGGTTGGATTCAACTGGCGTAGCCTCCGACGCACCAGCAGCATACAAATCCTCTTCTGCTAGATTCTCATTGCCAAATGAGGTTGATGTTATTTCACCATCTTGATCAAATCCAACATTTTCTGCCTCAGGTCCTGCATCGTATTTTTCGACTCGCTCAAAATCTCCAAAACTGTTGCTTTCGGGTTGACTATTCGAAGATTCTGCATGAAAGTCTGCCATTATGAAATATCCAGGAAGATAAATTCCTTCACACTTTAAGTAAACTGTTCTCTATAATGACAATGACAAGCAAGTGAAGCTAGGTATTCTACGTTTTATTTTTTCGATCTTAGTAATCTAACTGGCGGAAATCAGACTAATGGCGGAGCTGTAAGCGCATGCGTAATGATACTTTCTTGGTAATTCATCAACATCATCACAAGCCATAGTTTTTATCCTCTTCGTGTATACTAGCCATTTTTTGTTTGTTTAACGTTGTATCAATTCATTCAGAATCAAAGTGAAGCAAGGAAAGATTAGTTAAGATTAAACAAACAACCAAATAACAAACTTTTCTGTTACTCAACAGATTTGGACATATTTCCTTTGTTTTTGGAGAATCATATACAATGTTAGACCAAAACAGCTGTCGGATGTCTCCAGCCTCTGATAAGCTATTTGGACTGACTGATGTCGGCTGGTACACGTAGAGAAAATAAAATAGGCCATGTTGAATGGCGACTTTCCACATCTCAGCAGATGTGGGGGTCTTAATACTTCGGATCTACAAAACCCAGATATGTTTTGAAAGAAGAATATATTTGTAGTTCAGTCATATCATCAGTTCTCTCTAAACCATTTATATCACGTCTCCGGTTCCATCAAAGTTTATCGCATCGGACATTTAAAACTGGCGCTTCAACGTGGGGGAGGGACAAAACGAAAGTTACGGTGATGCCCAAAACAAATTTACAATCCTCGTAAAGGTAATTTGATTTTGTGTTGGAAAAAACGCATCTTCGGAAAATTAAACATGAAACAGATCTTATTTTTTCTGACTCCAGCTGACAACTGACTAAATATCCATTAGAATCTGGAATAGAAGCAGATGTTTCGGACTAATTCAATGGTAGATTGATTTTACTATTTGCGTTTTAATTTTCAGGGGCCAGTATATATGTGATATTTTGGGATATTCATTGTCATGCATTTGTATCGTCTTTTCACTTTTTACAATGTTTTTGATTGGATAGCACATATCACTTTTTACTCTATTAGCCTATTGGGCAAAATTAGACCGAACATAGTTTAAAAATTGGCGGAATGTGGAAATCTGTAGAATATATTTGTATTCAATAAAATATCTACCTTTATCTATCTGGATGACAAGTATGATGCGTTCAAAGCTCAACTGTAAATATTTGCTAATAAGCTCTAAATATTGAATTTTCATTCTGAAAAGTGGAAGAGTAGACTTGAGATGAGCCTATAAAATGATTGAAAGAAAAAACCTATTTCTTAAAAAATTTTCTGCGATAGCAATTTGTGCAATAGGATCTTATGACGTCACCAACCCGTCATTGTATGCAAACGCTATATCAGAAGGGTGACGTCCTAGATTAAAAACATGACAATATTTGTGTACTAATAATGGTGACAGATTCACCTCTTTCTAAACGGATTCGATCTTCTGCAGGTATATAAAAATCATGTATTTGTATTTGTTATTGACTGATGTAAATCAATACATAACACTGACAGCCTTTGTAGGCCTAAATTCCTTAAGATAGAGGGCCAACACCAGTTGATAGCTAAAGCAAAATGTGATTTTAACCAGAAAATCAATGACGTTTTTACTTTGAGAAATTAGTATTTCCCACGACTTCCCAAGCTGTTACACTTGATCAATTCCATGGCCACGTTCAATAAGATATTTGCCAGAAATGACGTTGTTAGAATTTCATAAGAAAATTTGAGCCACGTTTGAGCAGATATAAATAAGACAAGTGCATGCAACATTAGCCTAAAATTGCATTGTATTCGATACCAGAGACTCCCTATTTACAGAATTCAATCCACTATGTCCAGGAATATCATCTGGGGTTTTCTTCTGATAGTTCTTTATCACGGGTAAGTTAATATATTATCAGTAGGCCTAATGGCGACAGACTGGATTAAGAATTTTGAGACATTTATTTTCATCGTCTTTGAATTGTTGGAGTATGCTTCCATTCTTATCCTGTTCCTTTCATGATGAAGATGGATAACTTTGAGAGTCAAAAGCGAGTATTGTATTAATTGGTTATCTTATGTGTTAACTTTTTTGCCTTCGATTTATCGTATGTCAGGAAATCCAACTATTAATCAAGGAAGGTTATTGCAACCCAACTTAATAAGAAGACCACCTTCATCGCGAGCATCCTTTGCCTTCTTTCATGAAAAATAAGCACTCTGCTCAATTTTGACAATATCTCATCAGAGGATTCACCTTTATTTTTCAGAGCAAATGCCAAAGTCTGTGACATCAAAAATTGGTATAAAGATCTTCAAAAAGACAACTTAATTGTTTCCAATCTAAATCTTGAACAAGAGGAACTAATCGAGAAGATAGAAAAGAAAATCAGAAATTCTAAATTTTCTGGGAATGGCAAAGTAAACTGTGAAATTTTGGATGGATACGAGTTAATATTATCTACGGACCCTAACCGCCATAAGCGGAAAGCTCCAACTAAAATTAAAACCTTCGAAAAAGATTCAGGGAGAACGCGCGATAATGTAAAATATAAGCAAAAATCAAACGATAATGAAGATGACGAAGACAATCCCAGAAGGAAGTATAAGAAATATACAAGCAGTAAGAAGAGAGAGAACGATGAAGATGATGATGCCAAGAAAAACGACAAGAAGGACCACACTCTAAAGCAAGACGAAGAGAAGTCAGAGATCCAAAGCAAAAATGAGAATATCAATAAGAACGAAAAATCTCCAGAACCTGCTGTAACTGAAGAACAAAAGGAGTATGATCCAACAGAGAGTGACGTTGATGAAACAGAATTACTCGAAGAGGAGTTGCCAAGTTCTACTGAAAAGCTAACAGAGGAATCTATTGGAAACAAGAATGATAAAGAATCAATCAATCAAATGCCGAATGAAAAGGTTGCATTGCACAAACTGGAAGGACACAATGCTTCGACAGACAAACCAAGGATACCCAAGCTAAACGAAGTTTGTTCAAAATATACTAATAAATGTTCACGTTTGTGCTATTACGGGCATCAAAATCAACAGTCTCGTCTCCAATATCCTCTCTTATATTCTCAAAATAAGACTCAAAACGACCCCCAATCCACAAACCCCATACAGGTAAACGAAGAACGTAACCCGAAATCCTACGAGGAAAGTAGCGATAGTGGTATCAAATCTGTGAAACCATCTGATGACGAGTCTTATAGTGGGAATATTGGTGAAGGCAATAGAGGTACTGGCACCACGGGTGAAAAGTCAGAAGTCAATGGTATTGCGGATGACCAACAAGACGTCAGCGGCACCGCAGATAAACAGCAAGAGGTCAGCGGCACCAAAGAAAAACAGCAAGAAGTCAGCGGCACCAAACATAAACAACTAGAAGTTAACGACATTGCGGATAAACAGCAAGCCGATAAGGAAGATCTTGTAGAGAAAGACACTGTCCAAAAGGAAGATGATAAGCAGGAGAAAAAGTTCGCTTCTGATGATACGAATGATAAGGAGACAGAAAGGGATCCTAAAATGACTAGTTCAGATCAACTTAATTTAAACCTGAACAATATTGATGTACTCATTCAACAGCAAGCAACAGAATATTCAACCAAAATAAGCCAATTAGAAATCTTATTGATGAAACTAGAAAACAAATTCCTAAATCAACAACTGCATAAACAAAATGATTCAAATTCATTTTCAAAATTAGAGTTCCAGATAGTAAAACTCGAAAATGAACTTTTGAAATTAAATCAAAGTTATTACAAACTAAGTTCAGAAAATGAGGTGTTAAGAAACCAAGACAGACAACGGAGTAAGTCCTATGCTGCTCTACCAGAAGGAAACTCCACAAAGCATACAGAACTCATAACCCAACAACAAGTAAGAATTTCACAATTAACAGATTGGTTAACAAATCAAACCACCAACCTCAACCAACTACAAGATAAGTCAGATTCACTAGCTGTTCAAAATCAGGCTCTTTATCAAATTGTTATGAATCAAACAGCACTGATATCAAATATAATGCAGAAAGTGCAGGATTTATCCAACGAAAATCTATCTTATAGAAAAGAAACACAAGATTTGAAATCCAAGATAAACTCTCACGATGCATCTGTAAAAATATTAGAGAAACTGGAGAGTTTGGGGAGCAAGAGGGATACTGTTGATGTAAAACAGAAGCAGAAACAAAAACAGTTCCATTTTCTCCCAGATGCTCCTGAAGCTTCTATCAATCGACATTTGTGGAAGTGCAATGGTCTGCTGAGTCCTCAGATCTGCTACATGTATTCTATTCTTCTGTCTCCCTGTCCACCATTCTCTACCGTTTATTGGCGTAAATGTCCTAAGTATATTTATGAGAAAACAGCATCTTTCTTCGTGGAGTTTTTAAAGAAGTTCCCAAATGGTACTGAAGCAGCTAAACCTGAAGACATCAAAGAAAAGTTAACCCAAAAACCCGTTGATCCGCAGGTTCAATTTGGTAAAAAGCAACCGATCCTAAAACAAGAAGCAGTTATTGATCAAACTAAAGAAGCCGAGGAGTCAGAAGGTAATAAACAAGGCGTCACGAAGGAAGATGTCCAAAATGTGGAGGACAAGACCGAGAAAGGCAAGATTGAAGAAGAAAATGAAGAAGAAAAGAAAGAGGAGAGTAAGGATGGAGGGGACAAAAAGGAAGACGAGCAAGAGCGGGTTTTGGTAAGAGATGACGAAGATGAAGATGATAAAGGTGATACTGGTAGACCGATCAAATATAATACATCAAGTCTTAAAAAGCCTAAAGGTAGGTATAATTTGTAAAAGGGGAATTCTTTATAGGTTTTCCACAAACGGGTAATCTAATTTCCAGCATGTTATCATCAAAATCCAGTAGGCTTGTGTACATCCGTCTCCCATCCTCAATTCTAATATCACGGGATATATAAATATATTTCAAATGGTTGTAGAATTATTAGAAACCTTCACAATGAAGGCATTTAAGGTACATCATAACGATTCTAGCAACTCTATGTCTTACCATTGTGTTGGAGGCCTTCCTACGAAAACAGCACACTTGGCCAAATGTCGCAATGTTACCTTTTGATCTTGATTTAATTTCAGATTGTTATGAAGTATATCAGAGGGGATCGGCGAGAAATGGTGTTTATAAGATATTTTTACCTGGTCTCAAATATTATGTTGATGTTTACTGTGATATGAAGAATGGCGGTTGGACATTGATTCAAAAAAGATCAAGTGGAGACGTTGATTTCTTTAAGGATTGGAAGGCATATAAAGAAGGTTTCGGGGGTATGTTGTTAAAAGGAAATGTATTTTTCTGCTTCTGTCTTCTAACACTAGTCCACGTATTTGTCTACTGACACAACTACACGTTTTTATCAACTGTGTGCTAACACTGGCTTATGCATTTGTATGCTTACCCTTTTCTGTACATTTGTCCTCTGTCTGCTGACAGTGGTCCATGGCATTGTCTATTAACTCTACAAGTGTTGTAGTCTCTTGTCCTCTTAAGATGCTGAATCAGACCTTTGTTTAGTGTTATGTATTTGAAGAGGCTTGACCCTGTCGTTCTCCACTGTCCTCTGTAGATAAGGCCTTTGTCACTGTCAGTAGATACTGGACCAGGTCTCCGTCTATTGTCAGTAGATACTGAACCAGGCCTTTGTCTGTTGCCCATTGCAACTAGATACTGGACCAGGCCTTTTTGACTACTGTTAAGTGCCTGTAGATTCTGAACCGGACCTTTGTTTTCGGTTCTGTGTCTGAAGATACTGGGCCAGGCCTTTTTCTACTGTTCAGTACCTGTAGGTACTGGACCAGGGCTTTGTCTACTATCCTCTTGGATACTAGATCAGGCCTATGTCTGTTGTCCTGTCTACTATAGCTACATTCATGACTTCATTTTCTACTTTTGTTTTTTCAGTTAACACTGGTGAACATTATCTAGGGAATGATTTTATTCACTTCTTAACCAACCAAGGTCATTATTCCTTACATGTGGAACTAGTGAATTGGAAGAAAGAGAAAAGACAGGCTATGTATAAAGATTTCTGGATTGATGAAGAAGATGATGGTTACAAGCTACATATTGAAGGTTATGATGGTGATGCAGGAGATGGACTTTCTAAACATAATGAGATGAAATTCAGTACTCATGATGTAGACAATGATCAAGTCATCAAACAGTTTGGAGGGAGTTGTGCAAAGAGATTTCATGGCGCTGGCTGGTATTATAAATGTTATTCTTCCAATTTAAATGGACAATATTATGAAGATGGTGTTGTGCCACCTAAAAAGTTTGATGGTGTTGCATGGAAGCCATGGACTGGTCCAAACTATTCTCTAAAAGAAGTAGTGTTAAAAGTGCGACCTAAAGATGTCTTATAACCTTGACAATTAAAAAAATGTGGGCCATATACTTAAATCATGATCTGGACTGTGATAAATGAAATGGAAACAGATAATTTTGCTCAACTCTAATTCTAACATGTCAAGAGCAATTTACAAAGATAAAGTCATCTAAACATTTGCTATATCAGTTGGTTGAGCCCTCCATATCACTTTTCAAAATTGAATTCATTCTACTGTAAATGTTGGGACTGTGTCATTTTGATTCGAGGATGAAGTCTCCTGGTATATCTCTCTGGGAAACATGTACAATTTAATTTTCATTTTACTTCAATTATTTCTGAATCTTCTATGGCAGGCAATTCTCCTTTGAAAGCACAAAATAATATTTTCTCTGTGTATATTGGAAATAATTAGATAGTCATATATCATGTGATCTAAATATGAATTCATTTGTAAATATCACATTTTCATTTTCAGTAAATTCATTTTCATTTATATCAATAAAATACACAACTTTTAAAACGTTTGTCTATTAAATTTCATTTGTGTGTTCAAAATGATGAAAGCAGCATTGATGAAAGCTTAGTTAAAATCAACGCAAAGGAGGTTCTCTACCCATTGAACGTGTATTTGGGTCACTTCAGGCTTCTATATACACCATTGCAATGTCCTATCTGACTACTATGGTTTTTGATTATGATAGGAATCATGCCAATAGAAACTAAAATTGTACCAGGTGGTGTAAATGGTGGTAGATTACAACTGAACATCTGCTTCCAGCTATCCAAGACCACATACACACAACAAATCAAAAAGGAGACTTAGCCCCTGAACTCTCCAGATTTTAAGATTAAAAAACAGTTATGGATTAATCTCTTTCTTCATATCAAACTCAATTCAATATATCAAAGAAATTGAGACTAAATCATAAAAAATTTCACAGCTGAATTGTAGTCTTGTTTGCATTGAAAAGTCTTTATTCTTAAACTTTCCATCTTCAATTAAAAGGTTTACTTCATTTTTTTCCAAAAAATAACTTAGTTTTTAAAACTTTTGGAACTAACCTAATAGTTAATGATATTCTAGTTTGTCTAGTTTTAATATTGTCTATATTGATATCACTACACTGTTTAATATTACATATCCTATCATCAACCATGTCCTCAGTTTGTTCCTTTATACCATGTAGATATTTAGTATACATATCATCTTTAACTATCACTAAACTTCTAGGTTCTAAATAAACTGAACAAACATGCCTATCTTCAAATTTCTTGCTCTATAAGAAAGAAGTAGTTAAATTTTACAACCGAGGATAAAATCTAAAGATGATTTTGGTGGTTCAAGCCACTTTTGAAACAATATTTAGATGACTGTATATCCCATTTTATACGCCACCATGAAATGGGGGACGTTTTTTGCCGTCACCCATGTCAGTCGATCCGTCCGTTCACACACAATTGCTCGTAAACACTCTACAAGACGAATTTTGACAAAACTTATTATGAGTGTTCGTAATCACCAAAGGATAAACCTATTGAAAATCAGAAGAATCGAAAAATATTTAGTATAAGTTATTGCTCTTGTTCTTGAAAACGCGTTCAATTTTTAGCTCGTAAACACTCTAGAAGGGACAATTCTTGATGGATTTTAACAAAACTTAGCATGAGTGTTCGTAATCACCCAAGGATGAATCCTATTGAAAATCAGAAGAATCGAAAAATATTTAGTATGAGTTATTGCCCTTGTTCTTGAAAACGCGTTCAATTTTTAGCTCGTAAACACTCTAGAAGACACAATTCTTGATGGATTTTGACGAAACTTGGCATGAGTGTTTGTTATCAACCAAGGATAAACCCTACTGAAAATCAGAAAAATCGAAAAATATTTAGGAAGAGTTATTGCCCTAGTTCTTGAAAACACGTTCAATTTTTAGCTCGTAAACACTCCAGAAGGCACAATTCTTGACGGATTTTGACGAAACTTGGTGCGAGTGTTCGTAATCACCCAAGGCTGAACCCTATTGAAAATCAGAAGAATCGAAAAATATTTAGTATGAGTTATTGCCCTTGTTCTTGAAAACGCTTTCAAATTTAGCTCTTAAACACTAAAAGGCATGATTCTTGCTGGATTTTGACAAAACTTAGTTTTATTATTCATTCCCGTGCTGAAGATTGAATATTTGCCTTCTAGAGTTTTCACGAGCTAAAAATTGAACACATTTTCAAGAACAAGGGAAATAACTCATACTCAATATTATTCAGTATCGCCCTAAAGAGTTCAAAAGAAGTGTATGACTGAAGGTTGAATATTTCATACTGGTGATTGTTACTGTACTGCTTAATATTTTTATTCAAAATCAAAGCTGCCAGTGGGTGTATATTACCTTGCCTGGCAAGCTATCTTAATTCAAATGAATGCACATACTGATACATAATACAGGCCTTGGGGAAAGTATTCTCTTGGATGTTGGGGCGTGCCTCTGGTTATTTCCATTATCAAGCTTTTACAGGTTAATATTTACTACATTCCCAAATCAATACAAATACATACCATATTTTCAGAACATGGCTCACTTTTATCTTCTGCTTTTCCTTGATTAATATGTGTATAAAAATCTAGCACAGTTGATGATCCTAAACTTATTGTTGTTACAGTGGGATAAAATAAAGGTCCATCTTCATGTGGCTGAAATAGAAATGCGTAAACACTTGATTTATGTCAAAATATTGGCAATACATTGAAATTCATTTCTGCAACATGAGATAAACTCTCAAGGTATAATAATTAAAACAGAACCTGTATTCAATTATTAATTTCTATATTACTGTAGAACTAGAGACTGAACTGATTATATTACCATAATTCCTTGTCCTGGTGAATATTCATTAACTAAAACATGATTAGGTTTCTTTCCTTCAAATAAATCTAACTTTCCTATTTTATCACAATATAAATCTAACCACTGAAAATAACAAGAAACAAGATAGTAATTATCATAACCTGTGTAAATAACATACAATAAGCCAAATAAGTTGATATATAATTTTCAATATTATAACTGAAAGTTGTTGCATGGAAAATTCAAAAGAGCAAATTTGTTAAACTTTTTACACTAAAAGTTTCCAATCACTTAGTTAGTTATTAAAGCCTTTAACTGGCAAAATGAATTGTTTTTACATTCATTTGTTTTCTAATGACATCTGACCCCATCCAGGACATACAATATCCATATGGAAAGTCTTTTACTGAAAATCTGCAACAATCAACAACATGTACATAATAATGAATTAACTTATAACACATGTATAGTGGCTATCCATACCTGTGGAATATCTTCTGCTACCATACCTTTAGGATGGGGTAAACCACCTACAATAAAATAAATTATATACTAATTATAATATAATAAAACAGATATCATCACTAGGTTTCATATTTCACATAGTGGTGATAGATAAAATGTCACACTATTGCAACTGTGGAAGTAAAGACTTAAAACCCACAATGGGACGTAACATCTAATTCAACTTTGATAACATTTGTCAGCTGCTAGTTAAAATGAAATCAAGAATCAATTCTTTGCAAATAGTAGAGAATCAGTATAAGAAGTTACCCCAATTTTGTAATCTTCTGTTAGATAAATGTGTCCATTTTGGTTTTGGTGCAGAATAAACATGGTCAATTAACTTCTGTTCTTCTTCTTGGCTTATAAAGTTGGGAATATAGATAATAGTATCAGGAATCTACAAAAACATTTAAAAACTATCAAGTTGGTCAAAAAGAACGGATTTAAAACCATAATTACATGACTTGTTTTCAAATCAAAACTCTTTATCCCAGTTGGCAGAAGAGGTTCAGGTAAGCTGTTCAAGTAATGTCTGGATTGAGAACAGACATGAAAGGAGCTGATTCAGCCATTTTCAGTAGATACCCTGCACTTAATAATTCCTTTTTGACAAATGAATAAAACCTAGCGAATCTATTTCTGCGTGGCAAAATACTGTGGTGGTGAGTGTATCTGTCTGCGACTACTGTGAGTGTGATTGTGAGTGGATTGACAATAATTATTCATTATCACAGACAATGGTTAAATCACATCAAAAGATAATGTCACCTCTGCAACGATGCAATGACTGATCAAAGACATCTCAAATGTCTTTTGGTATATACTTTTATCACACTTTTAACACTACATCTTTTGCAGGAGAGAAAATCATTAAAAACTAAAATATTTTAAAAATGAAAGAAGGAAACACCGGAAACGATCATCTGAGAAATATGATTGGCCAAAATCTTTCAACTATTTTTAAATGACCAATCTATGATTAGCTGATATTAATATCTTCTTCCGGTTACCATTGTGAAGAAAATCATTAAATATTTTCAAATGAGAATAAACCAAATTTAGGCCATAATTTGTTGGCTGAATGGCTGTAGAAAGATAGCAAAAGGTAACTTAAATGATAGTATCTACTGTTGTGGCATTTGAATTATATTGCTTTAATATTTCATTGAAATTTTTCGTCTGAAGTGCCTATGGAGACGTGAAAGTGAAAGTAGACTGACAACATTGATTTCAGTTAGATCTGTCTTGGAGACAAAATTTTAGCATTTCTTTAATATATTTGTACAGCTCTTCCTTTGTATGCTGTTACATCTGTCACTGACAGTCCTGTCCAGCAACCTAGATGTGTTCCTGAATGGGTAGGCTACACTGTACCATGTATCACAGATAATCTTTACACTGGTTCCTTACTCGAAACTCAAGTTAATGTTATGAATTGGCAGATTGTCTCATTACTAAATGCAATATTCATGATATAAAAAAGGGCCAAAATTGGAATCCATGTATTTCCTATATAAATATATTCCATTTCCAAATCTCTATAAATAGACCTTGTACTCAACTTGTGGGCCTAATTGGTAGATCAGTAGAGTTGTCTGCAATATGTTATCATTGAAATAAGGATTATGTATATTAAAGATAATATTAAAGATTATTTCCAGCTTATTTGTAGTGTAAAAGAATGTTAGTGTGTTCGAAATATAAATTCATACCACTGAGGACTAAGGAATTTTTGTGTTGGCATATTTCGAAAATGTACTTAGTCTTGTATTTTTTGTTTAGATGGCAAAAGTTGGCAATGAGGTCATCAAAAATAGATCCAAATATTTACGCTATGATGACTTACCAACAGATCGATTTACACCAAGAACATATCAGGTTAGTTGATAGTAGATATATTTTATCAGCTTCATTATTTAAAGTTATTTTATGAGTTTGCTATGTTATATGAAAAAAAAACATGAGTCATTGGCAGGGCCATTTTATTAAGATTTAAGCTCAAGATGCATAATTTTGTATGCATCATTTCATTAATTTTTGAGGGTTTTTATCTGTATGGTACTTAACAACATCCATCTTGAAAGTTCTACTTAACATAAGTTCTTTAAAAAATGTTCTCTTATTATGAAGGTTGACTTGGTGGACTCAGCTCTGCAGAAAAATACCATAGTTTGTTTGAGCAGTTCTTCTGAAAAGCTATTTATAGCTCTTATGGTAATTAAAGAATTGAGCACAGTGCTACGTAAACCATTATCAGAGGGGGGCAAACGCACCATATATGTTGTCAATTCAGGTAACCCTTTTTCTTATTTCTTGCAATGAAATATCTACATAATAAAGTGCCTCAGACAGATGACAGTGATGATTAGTATGATAACCCAATATTTATTTTTGCATGACATGTATGTGGTAACTCTTGGTAGAAGTACATTTAAATTTGGCATAATGAAATGAAAACCTCTTTAGAATGAATATACTTAGATCAAAGTTATTTTCTATGGTTATTTTCTGTATTTCTAGATGATACAGCAGAATTTCAATGTCAGATACTGTCCAGACATACTAATCTAAAGATTGGTTATTATACAATAGATAAAGATACAGAGAACTGGGCAAAAGATAAATGGCAAGAAGAATTTACTTCTAAACATGTTCTAGTCTTTACTGCAGAGGTCATACTGGATGTTTTAACTCAAAATTCCCTTCCATTACCTCAAATCAATATGCTCATATTTGACGATTGTCATTTAGCTGTGGGTGATCATTCATATGTTCAAATCATGCATATGATTGAAAATGAGAAGGTGGAACCTCATGTCATAGGACTTACAGCATCCATTTTAGGTAGCCGAATTCCAGAACCTCATAAGCTCAAACATACCATAACATCTCTAGAAAATATCTTTCATTGTACAGCTGAGACATCCATGTTAGTCATCTCAGAACGGTTTGACTCTAGACCTACAGAATCAGTTTTACAATGTTTTACTGATCAGTCAGATGAAGTAGTGCTCAAACTTAATGACATAATAGATTCAGCTTTATTTTTTCTTTATGAATGTAACATATCACCTGATACAGAGGAGGAACCTTTTAAGAAAGACCCTCGACAACTTGGCATCAATGTTCTCTCAGAAATCAGAAATATTTTACATCAGTTGGGAACATGGTGTACATCCCGTATTGCTGAAATTCTCATCCCACAAATTGAAAAAAATGAAAAAAGTGAATCTTGTGCTATTAATAAAAGATTTATTCGATTTACTCTTACCCAGTTACGTTTAATTGTCAAAGTTTTTGAAGCGAATTTTAATCCTGATTATGATGTAGAAGAATTGTTGATGTATTCCACACCCAAAGTACGGGAATTGGTTCACATGCTGAGAAAATATAAACCAGATTGGGATTTTATGATAATCAGTAGTGACGATTTATCTGATGATGAATTATCTAATTTGTCTGATGATAATGAGGATGCAGATTCACTCAATTTATCAGATTCAGATTATGATGAAAAAGATGATCATTCACCTAAATTAATCCATGTAGCTGTGAAACGATCAACTACGGATGCAGACGGTCAAATTATTAGTAATGGTGACAACACTGATGCTAAACAACTCTGTGGTTTAGTTTTTGTTGATCAACAATACGTGGCTCTAGCTTTAAATAAGTTTTTAGAGGAAGTATGTAGTTGGGATGAAAACATGTGTTTTTTAAAAAGTCAGCATATTGTAGGGCAAGGGTATAGAAGTGCTCCGAATAAAGTGTCTATAGGTAAAGTTTATAGGAAACAAGAAGAAGTATTAAGAAAGTTTCGAATGCAGGAATTAAATTTATTGATAGCTACCAAAGTTTTAGAACATGGTGTAGATATACCAAAATGTAACTTAGTTGTTCGTTTCGATCCTCCACGAGATTATAAATCTTATACATTATCTAAGGTAAGCATAGATTATTGTTTATTAATTTACAATGTTGAATACATGTTTACATCTTCCCAATATGTTTTCAATCAGAAAAAGTCAGCTAACAGTAGTCAGAAGTCAAAGTGAAATATGGATCATTATAAGATGATCCATTTCTATATTCTCTACATTGCTATTTTACTACGGTAACTAAGAATTAGTAAAATGCCTTAAGAAGATATATCTGGTTTATTATATAGGGTAGAGCTAGAGCTCGAGATTCTGATTATGTTATATTATTAAATGAGGAAAATGAAAAATTATTCAGTGAAGATTTAAAACTATTTAAAGAGATAGAAGAGGTAAGAGACATATTACTAAATAAAACTCATAAGATATGTTTAAACAGGCCTGCTTTAAAGCAAAATTGGAGATGTTTTGATGCAAAAGCACTAAAAATCAAAATCTGATGTGGTGCCAATGATACAAAACAGTTATTTAAATATTATAACAATTACACCTTATATATCAAATGATGCAGTTTAATTGCCAAAATATAGTTTCAGATAGCTGGTGTTCTTCAATTCTATGTAATTAGTTATTGTAAAATAGGATTCAGATTTCTATAAAGGGCTCCATATTCAGAATGGTCAAAGACTGTTGAAGCTATCTGAGACGTTATATGAAGGAAATATTAAAGATAATTCATTTATTGTGCCATTAACTAGCTAAATTATAATTTCAGATATTAATTGGTAAAGAGAAAGAAAAAGATATAGTAGAAGAAGACAGTAGTGACTATTTAGATATAGTACCCAAATATTACCCCACTAATCATAATATCGATGTTCATGTTTCTTTGAATAATTCCATAGCATTAATTAATAGGTAAGACTTATTTATAGCTCATATGAAGTTGGGAAACAGTTAAGAAAGCGTTAAAACATGCAGCTTGAGTAGGTGTCAATGCCATAATGTTTACAAATAGCATTATTCCCTTAACTTGATAGATACCTACTTCCCAAAGATGATGGTCTATAATGTTAAATTAACTGTAGTATTGGTTGATTTATTGTAGATACTGTGCCAAGTTACCTAGTGATGCCTTTACACATCTTACACCTCAATGTACTATATCAACTATACAACATGGTGATAATATATCATATATTGGTCATATCAGATTACCTATTAACTCTCCTATTAAACTTCAAATTGAGGTAAGTATAAGCTTATAAGGTGGTGGTTCAGTGTCTGATTTAAAGGTTACCCTATAAATAACCAGACTGGTATGTGGCCAAGGTCTAGAAAGGTTACCCAATAAATAACCAGACTGGTATGTGGGCAAGGTCTGATGTTGGTTGATCTACTGGGCTGGAGGTGTTACCTAGTAAGTAGTCAGACTGGTATATGTGCAAGGTCTAAAAAGTTTACCCAATAAATAACCAGACTGGTTTGTGGGAAGGGTCTGATATTGATTGATCTACTTGGCTAGAGGTGTTACCTTTTAATAAACCTAAAAAAATGTTTGTGTGGTCTTCTATATTTTATGAGATATAGTTCGTCTTTTTTCTGAATAGGGTATTGCAATGCCAACCAAGAAACTTGCTCAAAAAGCTGCTGCTCAGAAGGCTTGTGAAATGTTGCATAAAACAGGTGGGGAAATATTTGTTTTCTTATGTGATTAACAAGTTGGACATGCTCTCTGCATGGCTGCATTAAACCTCTGTGCATGCCGAACTATTTCTTTAAATACTTAGTATAAAGATTTTTTTTCTGCAATCCTTGAAAAGGAGAATTGTACTGCATTGTCATAGAGAGTACAATCCATAACTTTGCTTAAAAACACTGTAAGGTCTGTTATGTTTTAAAGGCTACCATTCTAAGTAACTACTGACGGAAAATCAGTTTTCTATTGTTATGATTACTAGGTGAACTAGATGAACAGTTACAACCAGTTGGTAAAGAAATGTTTCTACAAGAACAACAAGAAGAATGGGATGATGAAGATGTAACAAGTCAAGGTCGACCTGGAACAACTAAACGTAAACAATATTATTTCAAAAAGGTAAAAAAATAAACAGTTTGTAGCGTCAATTGTGCAAGAATACTAAAACAAGATCTGTGCATATTTTGAAATTCTCCTCAGGTTTGCAAGTATAAATGAACTTTGAGCTGATACTATTAATGTGCTTCGACTGCCTTTTCTAAAAGCTTTCATAATAAAGTTAAAAGACAAGGATATATTGATTCTGGTACTTTTGTTGTAGGTGGCTGAAGCTTTTGATAAAAGTCATCCAGACGTGAATAAGAAATGTTATCTATATATTATCAATATGGTATTAACTGGTCGTATAACTGAAGAACAGAATACTAGAGGGCGAAGTATTTATGCTCCAGAAGAAACCACCAGATGTTTAGGTATTTTATCATCTAAACAGATTCCACAGGTTAGTACAAGACAGGGTTTTGGGTAATTATAGGATTAGTGCTTCTTGTTCAAGATTTCACCATGAGAGTGAGTCTTTATGGTTATTTGTAACTGCAATATTACTACTAGAGAACAACTTACTAGAGTGTTCATTTGAAAATGTTAAAGATTGTACAAGAATGTTAACTTGACTGAAATGAACCTATATTTTCATGAATTCAATATATCTGATTTCAGGTTCCCATGTTTCCTGTCTATACCAGATCAGGAGAAGTGACTGTATCTGTAGATTTAGTTCAATCAGATATAACATTAGATAATCAGCAACTTAAACAACTACAAGACTTCCATTTATTTTTATTTACTCAAGTCCTACATCTAGATAAAGATCCTATGGAATGTAATGGTAGTTTAGCTGATGTCGGTTATTTAATTGTTCCTGTTGATCCTTGTAAGTTTTTTATTTGTTTGTTTTTTTTCTTATCTTAGATCTGTTGCTATAAATCAGAACCGATCCAATGAGAAGTTGATTAAGTTTTGAGTTTGATTGTTGTCTGGTCATCTGCTTGATGCCATAGCTGTCAATGGGAGAAGGATTTTCTTTACAACCATATCAATAAAAGGATTGTAAATTATGGACATAGATGTATTTTATCTGACCTATTTTGATAACAAAAAAATGCCTGCATATTGTAACTTTATCAAATAAAAATGAAGTCATAGCAACCCAAGTTCACTAGATAGTCCTTTCCAGACAGCTGTATTTTGGCTCTAGAAAAGTTGCCCTATTTTTTAATCATGTTGTTTTATTATTTGAACATTCTAGCTTTGGATGCTCTGGCTGATATAGAATGGAGTTTTGTAGAATATGTAACTAGTAATAATTCAGATCAAAAGAAGAATGTTTTTGATTCAAAACGTGATATATTTATGTTTGATAAAGAGGCTTTTCTCGATGCTGTTGTGATGCCATCATATCGTAATATAGATCAACCTCAGAACTTTTATGTAGCTGAAATCCGCTATGACCTTAGTCCTCTTAGTTCCTTCCCATCACCCGAACTTTATAAAACTTTTAATGACTATTACAGTACCAAATATGGTCTTGTGATCACCAACACTGACCAGCCATTATTAGATGTAGATCATACGTCTGCTCGGCTTAATCTACTTACACCAAGATATATGAATCAAAAAGGCGTAGCCCTTCCTACCAGTAGTGCTGAAACCAAAAGAGCCAGACGTGAAAATTTACAACAAAAACAAATCTTGATTCCAGAATTATGTGATATTCATGTTTTTCCAGCCTCTCTGTGGAGAAAAGCTGCATGTCTGCCTGCTATATTATACAGAATGAATTATTTATTATTAGCAGAAGAAATAAGATTAAGGATTGCTCGTGAAACGGGAATTGGTGTTATTGACCTTCCAGAAGGTTTTAGGTTTCCTCAATTAGATTTTGGATTTGAGACTAGTCCAGATAAAATTAAACGTGAGAAGAAAGAAGATGAAGAGGAAGAATTTCAAAAATTAGAAGTAGAAGATGGTTGTGCAAATCTTAAGTCTAATACTGCTGATATTGTAGAGGAAGATTTGACAGATGGAAGCAAAAATGAAGTCAATGAAAAAAGTGATTCGTCTTCTGATAGTGACTCAGGAATTGCATCAAGTGACTCATGTTTAGTTCGAAGTGAATCTGATATTGTGTCTAGTGCGTCTGATGCTAGCATAAAATTAGAAGATAAACTAGTAGATGGTACACACACTAATCATGTTGAAATTTTCAATGATACTATGGATGTAATAAGTAATAAACTTATAGCAACTAATATTAACTCTGAATCAAATACTGACAAGCCAGAAGCCAGCATTCCTAGTGATTCTAGTGATAAAACAGTGATTGATATAAGTGACTCTAGTCCTGATAAAGATAGCTGTAAGCAATGTCAAAAGAATATATTACAATATCAAAACTGTTGTGAATCAAATGTCAATGATTTAAAAAATCTTCAAGATTGTGTTCAAAATGCTGATTCTGATACATTTGATGTTGGTGTTTGGAACTCACCAGACGTCAAAATAATAGAGGGTGTAGCAGACGACAAAAACTTTTCATTACCTGAAATCTCCCTAGATGAAGATAGAGATCTCGATACCTTTGTGGGACCAAGTCCATGTCTTATTTTACAAGCCTTAACCATGTCCAATGCAAATGATTTTTTTAGTTTAGAAAGACTTGAAACCATTGGTGATTCATTCCTGAAATATGCTATAACTGTTTATTTATATTGTTCTTATCCTGGAATACACGAGGGTAAATTAAGTTATTTACGTAGTAAACAAGTCAGTAATTATAATCTATATCGACTGGGTCAGAAACGTGGTGTAGCTGAATGTATGGTATCATCTAAGTTTGAACCATATGAAAACTGGCTACCTCCATGTTATATAGTCAATGAAGACCGTAGACGTGGACCTGTTCCTAAAGTTTTGATAGCTGGTACTAAAAATGATAAAGCATCCATTACCTCAAACTTTGTTCTAGAAGAATCAAAACCCAGTAAAAACCATTTTCCTATTGGAACTTTCAACACTGGTGAAGGTAAAGTGAATGATTTTAATCAAGAATTAAAAGAAGCAGAAGAGTTAGATGAACTAGAGAAAGCAAGTGAAGCTAATCAACTATTAATACCATATAGCCTTCAAACACAACATGGTATACCAGATAAAAGTGTGGCTGATTGTTCAGAAGCTCTGATTGGCTGTTATTTAACTACTTGTGGCAAAAAAGCTGCTTTAATGTTTATGTCATGGTTAGGATTGAAAGTTTTACCAAAGAAAGAAAGAGTTGGGGATTCTATTAAAAAAGAGGGGCAAGAGGTAAGAACTTTAGACCAGTTGACAAATTTGTTTTTGAATGCATTGCAGCTTTAAGTTGAATTAGACATGGTATTACCTTTTGAACTTTACATTTCCTTTTGAATGTGTCTAAGCATTGTCTCTTTTTAAATTTGACTAATATTTCTTTTGAATGTCAGTTGATATTTCTTTTTTATAAAGAAGGTGGTTTGACATTCCTTGTAATACCTCTTAGTGTTTGGTCTTAATGTGTTTTGAAATTGCTCTTGGTGTGTCTTTGACATTTGATTTGAATTCTCTTATATGTTACAGTTGAGTGAAAGTGAATATGAAGAATTAAGCTGTCCTGTATCACCATTAATTACTGATGAGAATAGCAGTAGAAAGAAATTAGAGATGTTGTTAAATGGTTATGATGAATTTGAAGAAAGTATAGAATATAAATTTCAAGATAGATCCTATTTATTACAAGCTTTTACTCATGCCTCTTATCATTATAATACTGTTACTGATTGTTATCAAAGGTACAATACTGTTCCTGTTTCATTTTATTTTTTATTTTTTATTTTCTTAGTTCTCTAAAATTAATGGGATTATAAAGAGGTTTTCTTAACTTTTTATTCCTACATAGGGACAATGGTAGCATAGAATTGCAACATTCCAATTTTCAATCAGATGTCTATAGGTCTTACTATTCCACTAAGACTATGCCATCATCATTTCAAAAGCTGCTGATAATATCTAATTTCCTTTTTAAAGATAGCAAGTATGTTCTAATCTTGCTTTAATAACTATAGTTCAAATTTGAGCTTTAAATCTTTTTTTGTTGATGAAAACTATAACAAATACATGTCTTCATATAAGTTGAGTTCTGTTTTGAAGAGGTATTAATTTTGAATTTCAGATTAGAATTTCTTGGTGATGCTATATTAGATTATGTTATAACCAGACATTTATATGAAGATTCTCAGAAATATTCTCCTGGTATTTTAACAGATTTAAGATCAGCTTTAGTTAATAACAATATATTCGCTGCATTAGCTGTTAAATGGAACTTTCATCAATATTTTAAAGCCATCTCCCCAGCATTATTTCAAGTGATAGAGAAATTTGTCACACGTCAGAAAGACAGAGAAGATGAAATAGATATTGATGACGAGGTATTATATTTGAACTATTTATAGTTTTAGTAATATAGTCATCATTATTTCAACAATAGCTACCATGTTTTTTTGTAATCTGAAATTTTGTCTCCGACATGAGCAGAGTGATTTACATAATTCCCTTTCATAGTTCAATGATGAGGATAATGTTATTTGTTATGATATTTACCATTATGATATTAATTATTATTTATTCATATCATTATATAGTTCAATTGATGTATTGAGCACTATTTTAACTGTGATAATAATTTGTTATTGTATGATATTTACTTATGATAATATGTTATTATATATAAAAATATATATATTTTTGTTTAATGATGAAAAAATTAGACGATGATAATGTCTTTTATTATATATATTTAATAGTTTAGGAAATAAAATGATGATGATGTTATTTATTATATTATATTGTAGTTCAATGATAAAGATGAAGAAGATGATGATGATGATGAAGAAGTTGTAGAAATGGAGATACCTAAAGCTTTAGGAGATATATTTGAATCTGTAGCTGGTGCTATATATTTAGACAGTGGAATGTCATTAGACGCTGTATGGACTGTATACTATAGATTAATGAAACCACAAATAGGTGAGATGATGCTGCAATTGTCCACGATTTTCCTTATACAAAATGCTATGTTTTGACATTAATTTTGTTGTTGGCGCTACTGCTGACATGCTGATTTCAAAGGAGAATTAGAGCTTACTAATCAATTCTTTGTAGACCATAAAGGCAAAAAGATGCCACAGTTTTTAATTTAAAGCTACCATGAAATATTTATTTATCTTACCACAAAATATGTATGTATTTTGGGATTTGTGTGGTCAACAATAGCAATGCCAGTGGAGGTACCCTAGAAAAATAGTTTGTACCCCCAATTATCCACCTAGTTATGTCAGTCTGTCCCCTATTTGTATCCCCAGTCTCAGAAAGCTGGCACTGCCACTGGTGGTCAAATTCACAAACTTGTATCAAACTTGTATTTTAAACTCTTCAGAGAAATATTTGAAATGTATACCCAAATCTCCAGTACGAGAATTATTAGAGATGGAACCTGAAACAGCTAAGTTTGAGTAAGTACTTTATTCAATGATTGTGAATGATTAAAACTAAGAATAAATTAATTAAATCTGTATTAAGATATTACCAATGATCCTATTTGCTTCTGGAATTTGAAGGAAATGTTACTTATTTGAGGTCACAGTACTTTTATACAGCAAAATTGAATATTTAGTTGCCTAATAAATGAATTGAAACAGATGACATAAAAAAAAACATTAAGCACTCTCTTGCTTTAATACATGTATTAATGACAATTATGATATTTTTCTTTAGAAAACCGGAACGAACAATGGATGGTAAAATTCGAGTAACAGTTAATGTTGTAGGTAAAGGTGTTTTCAGTGGAATTGGCAGAAATTACAGAATCGCCAAAAGTGCTGCTGCTAAAAAAGCATTAAGATGTATGAAAACTATGCAACAACAAGGGCTTATATAACTAGTGCCATAATGCTGAACCAAATATCATGTGACTTAACCGGTTATGAATTATTTAGATAACTATTTATATTCATTCATTCATTAGAGTAATTTTATGGCTTTATGGGTTGTGCAAAATTATTGACTTTATATTTTCTTAGATTTATCTGTGTATTGTACAATACAGCAATTATTGAATCTTAATTGTGACATATCTTTATTATTGTTGATTACTTTATGTTTGTGATTTATGTTTAAGCAAAAACCACATTTTCCTTTCCATATACTTTTTTCATGAAATTCCCCAATCAAGTGTTCAATAAATTTATATATATGTTTACATATAAAATCATACTTGATCTATAATTACTGAAGGTCTTGTTCCAAACATACAAATTCCACAAATATGAATTTTAACTCCTAACAATATACTCATTCATGTATTGAAAGTACAAAATTTGCCATGTGGACCCTCTGAATAGGATGTCAAGTCTGCAAATCTAATTTCAGATTGTCATAAATAGTGAGAATGTCCTGCCTTTAACTGAGCTGAACTTCAAATCTTTTGTCTTGATCTCAAGAGCTTAATAAAGCCAATTAGTAGAAGAATGAAACTACCAAAAAATGCCATAACTATTTAACTTAACAAAATGTTCAATGTGATTGTATTGTTTGATGTGTTCTTATAGTAAAATAATACATATATTTGATGTTCTGAAAAAAAGAATCTTATAGAATGATAAGAGTTATAAAATTCTAAAAGGTCTTTCTAGAGTTTCACAAATTAGACCACAATGCCTGGCTTACAAAAATTTTGAATATTTTATGTTTAAATATTTGATATAGAACAGTGTCATTATTACCCAGAATTGTGTTGTATTATATTTAAGTTATTTTCAGCTTTTTTATCAATGGTGCTCTCCAGGAAGATTCAATTTATTAATATGTAAGGCTCAAAAGCATTCTTCCCAGTATATCATAACAATCTAGTATCTTATAGAATTTCATTATTTACATTATAAACTAGTAAGCTTATTTTCTCATGCAGAATTAAATCAAGAACAAATCCAATTGTTTTTTTCTATGAAAACCTTTACAAAGACACAAAAAAAGCTGTATTATGCTTTTCTTCATGGTAATCAACTGGACCCATTTTGTTTTAGGGAAACATGTTCCTATGGTGGTTCAATTATGTCTCTTATATATAGAAGATGATCCAAGTAAGGTGTCCAATTACATTTAACACAATAAAAAATGTCAGAGGTTTTTATTCATAATCAAATTATAAAATCAACAATATTATTTCCTAGGTTGGAAATTCAAATAAAAATCTTCATATAATCAGTGTAATTGTGACAAATTATTTGAAATATAATCTTTCTTTTTTTATCATGGAGTAATTACTGAAAACATCTCAAAAGTATCTCAAAAATATGTTCAGAATATTTTAAACCTATAAGTGGTTGTCTTAATATTTGATTTAAAAGTTGATAAAGATTCTTGCCTGTTATTTAATTAATCAGGTTTTTTATAGCACATTTCAGAATAGCCTCCATTTAGAATTAAACTAACATTTTTTGACACTAAATCTAACCCTACATATGTCTAAAACTAATTCGCTTAAAGACATCTAAAAGCACAGTGGTGGAATGATAATGGTCCTATTTTTTGTAAGTGTTAGTTTTTGCTAGATATGTTGCTTATCAGAGAGAAATAAAATTTGAAGGCAGGCATTATCATTAGATAAGAGACTCCAAATAGAAAAACTAAAGAGATATTTTAAAATTTGATATGAATTTATTAACCTATATCCAATATAATATCCCACTAGACAATTCAATTCAGAGATAAAATATCATCTGAATGTCATTTAAAGAATTGAGATAATTCCCTTCAGTCTTGTGGTCTATAATATTCTCTTCACATAGAGAGTGGACATCTGAGTGGTCTTTTTGAAAAATATTTAAAATAAACTGTAACAAATATAAAATAATGAAAACACAACAATTATACATGCATATTATATCATTGATATTTTCAACTGTAATAATTCATATTTATTGCGTAGATATTTAAAAATACAACTTTAACAGGATACAATACACTAAGCATATAAATATGAACTGTGTACATACATAAGTATTACACCACCACCTTGCACCAATATTTTATATTTTGGCTGAAGCAACCTTGAACAATTCAATACACACATAAATTTCACATTGTGACATCATTAGAACTTTTACTCTTGGATGAATTTGTAGATTATATTTTCATATTCACAAACAGGAATTCTGGAAATCAAGCAAAATAACTAAAAGTTATTGGACAATGCAATCTTGTTATAATTATAATTTTAGATAAACTCACTATGTATCTTTATATGATTAAATAAACAAAAATATAGGAAACAAATATAGTAAGTGATATTTTGAAAAGTGATTGGGGGTTATGTTTTCATATATAAGAATATAAATATAGGAATAGCTTGAATAAATAACGGATCTATTTGTCCTGTGATATAAAATTTAGCAGGTTATGGAAATATTAAAGAAATATATTTCTATTTTCACCAATAAAGGCACCATGAATAAACAACGGTCATCAGGTATTTCAACCAATATCTGACAATGTATGAAAATAAATATACTTATTATGACTTATTATGACACATTATGAACATTTGTACAGTATTGAGCAATAATTATAAACATGAAAAACTCTAATTTTGACAACAGCTGTAAAATATAAGCAATAAATATTTATAAATCTTAGGTTGAAATTTATGTAGAAAGACAAAAATTTGTATTAAGTATTACAACATGAAATTTAATGAAAAGTATAAACGTTTGAACAGATTTGAAATAACAATATTATAAGACATACTGTAAAAGTTATATTACAGCAAAGATATTTGTAACCTACCAGTTAAAACTTGGTCATTTCTCCAAGGTTAAAACAAGCAGTCTATTTCCATAAAAACATATTTATGTTTGAAATTCCCATATTTGGATGTGCACCAATATGTTAAATACTAGATACAGATGCACATCAACATCTGTTTTATATGCTTTAAATGATTTAGAAAATTAACTAGCTCTACAGAAATCGGTCAACCTCAGGGATAGATGAAATGTAAATTTTTGGTTTTAAAACCAAATAAACAGTTCTAATAGAAAAAGAAGTATTCTAAATAAGTATTGTTTGCCAGGACTTTTAAAAAAGGATTGCTTGTCAGGACTTGTAGAAAAGGATTGTTTGTCAGGACTTTGAAATAAGGATTGTTTGCCAAGATCTTAGAAAAGGATTGCTTGCCAGGATCTTTAGAAAATGATTGTTTGCCAGGACTTTTAGAAAAAGGATTGTTTGCCAGAATCTTAGAAAAGGATTACTTGCCAGAATCTAAGAAAAGGATTGTTTGTCAGGATCTTAGAAAAGGATTGCTTATCAGGCTATCATACACCAACATGATGTACACGACAAAGAAAAATGTTTTCATGATAAATTCATTAATTTTGCAACTCATACCAAATGATCTCAATCAAATGGATGAAATTTTCATTGGGTTAATAAAAATACTTTGACGTAATTACTCTAAATCAAGATCAATAATTAACAAATGTAAAGCTCATATTGAAAGATAACTTTAGATTCTATGTAACATATTAAAATTTTGATGACAGACTGGCTTAGAAGGTGGGATCAATATATACATCCATATTTTCTTGTAGATGAAGAGATTCGTATGAAATAATTGTGACAAACTTATAACTGAACTATAACAAGGCACTAAATTTATATATTTTATGTTCCAAACAATATCTGTCGACTACTGGCCCAGTATTCTCAAAATGATCTTAGTGCTAGGACATCCTAAGGTCTAAGTTTGAACACTGTTTTTAGGACATCCTAGCACTAACATCGTTAGTCATATTGGGCCCAGGGCTTTTGAATCTGAAATGTTGCTTCAAATCATAAAAAAACCTATATTTTTCACTGTAAAAAAAAGCCGAAGTCCTAAATAAACTTAACTGGCTGATCAAGGATATAGTAGTGGTGAAAGATTTTCTACAGCTCTGAAGTTGAGCATATAAGCTAGGCAAGTTAGGAAGGGCCTGATCTATAATATTAGATTGAACTAAGAAGCATTATATGATTCATTCATCAAACATACCTACTTTTTATGTACAATATTTATCTCGAGAAGGAGTAAAAGCATTATGAAAATATGGTTGCAGTACAATATTCACAGTATGTAAAAAAAACAAAGATTGTTTCTTAAAAGAGAATGAGAGTGGATTTATAATATGGATAACTTTTTGTTATATTGAAACTAGGGGCCTGTTGTCAAGACATTTTTAACCTACAATTCCTATTTCTAGGTCAAAGATGTGCAACCTTGTTTAAAATCATTCACCCTGCTGGTGCTCGATTGAAGAGTTCTGAACAGGTTCAATCGACCAGTATGAAAGCCGATATGTAACATTCAAAATTTTTCTATCTATTTCCTTCTCTGCCATTCTGTTGGCATAAAATATTTTTTGACACACGTGGAATGCTTTCTAAACTCTGTTCCAACTTGTTTTATTGAAGGTTCTGATAATACCATATATCCTGAACATGTAGAGCTCACCAATCGAGCCGCCTCCTGACTGTAAAAGCTAACATGAATTGGGTAAATAACAATGACTGTCTGCATATTCAAAATTAACTATTAATGTATTAGACGTGCACATGCAGCACAACTGTTATACGGTTATTCCTTTACATATAGTCTCTCAACCTACCCGTAGATAATATATCTTTGTCTATGTCTGAAATACAATATCTCAAACTTATTTTTAAAGAGAAAAACACAAAGGCCATGATAAACACCAATGTAGCTTGAGAAATTCTATGGCTCTTTCTTTTTCCCAGGTTTTCTAAACTTATACACCATCATTATCCTTGAACAGAAGTAACATTAACATTAGCATTGTATGTTTACAATAACCTATAAAAGTTATGATATGTCTTGAAAACAAGCCCTGTGATAATTAAATTCTGAGTACCGGTTTATCATCAAAATATTAGCCAGTAAGGGGGGCTATAACTTGTTATAAATTTGTTCTGTAGAAAAGTATAAAAATAAATAGGAAATAGAGAAATGTAAGTTTAAGAACAGAGTAGTAGAGAATCAGATGCTGCCAGATTGATTTTAAACACTAAATAGCTGATAGGATATCATCATAGTATCAACAAGTAACTTTCTCCTTGGATGGCTGAAATTAGAAAAGTTGTTTTTAATGAGATGTGTATCTTCACTTCATGAAAATATAATTTTGGTATCGTTCCAGTAAAAAAGAGGTCTAAGAGAACCATCAACTGTCATCTTAATTAATTGTTGCATTAGTTTTAATGTACACAAACTGGGGTGTATTTCTGAAAAATACTTCAAGAAATGGAATTTCATCTAAACAGGTGGAAATACAATAGCTTAGTCGCTGTTAGTTGCTGTGAGATTGAATCTTCAAAGTAAAAAAAATTCTGATTTTAGTCAGTGGTCTAGTGGTCAGGGTTGACCTGAAGTCATCTTTAACTCTCTAATATGTAACATACAAAAAATCAGTATGAAAAGAAATGATTCTTTAAAACTTCAAACAAATCAAAGAAAAATATCACTTACATTTAATAATGAATTGTCTTCTTTAAAGACAGGTAAAGATTTTCTAGAATATTTCAAATTTAACTCATCACCAAGTTGATTTAAAATGCCTAGTGTTCTATCTAACATTTCTCTTGTATGTGAAGCTGACATACATAATCTTACACGACCTTCAATAACCGGTGTAGCAGGGAAACCAACCACTACCACACCTAGTCCCATTTCTAATGCCTTTCTTGATATTGCCCTGAAATAAACAAGATAAATATTACAACTTAGTTGAATTTTAAGATTTATCCTATAAGATTAATGAAAATCACCGTCAATCAATATGTTTGTCTACGTTTCACTTTAAGAATTTGACTGAAAGGCGGTACAACTCGTAGCTTCTTTTTTTTTTATTTTAACATTAGGTCAGACAGAATGCTGTATGGACATAAATGCAGCTAATAACTAAGTACTTACGCAAGTTTTGTTGGATAGAATACAATAAAAGGCACAACCGGTGAATCTTTATTACCATAAACAATAAAACCCATTTCTTGTAACTTTCTTCTCATATACTGGGTATTCCATGCTAGTTGATGGATACGTTTCATTCCTAAGTGGATATGAAGCAAAATTTATAAGAAATATTGTACAGAATACAACTTGATCAAAACTTTGACAAATAATAAACTCAGTAGTTACAAAAATTCAGCAATCAGCATGTGATTACATGTATAAAGAGAGTCTTGAGCATTCAAATTAAGATCTCAACATTTTTAACTGGTTGTTAAAGGGACATTCTGCTTTTGTTCAGAAAAGTTTTCATTGTCAAAAACGTCGTAAATTATACCTAAAAATAATTCTAAAAAATCGACCTACAAAAAGCGGAAAATATCAAATTTTAGTGCTTTCAATATGCTTTGTTTGTCATGTCTATATAACAAAACTGTACAGGAGGATATTAATTCATAAAAGAAGCCCAACCATTAGATATACCAATATCTTACCTTCTTCAGTACCATCTTTACCCATTATAATATCAATAACTGATATAATCTGACGAGCTACCGGAGGCGGAACAGTAGCAGCATAAATTGAACTGTGTGAATTTACTCGGAAATGACGAATTAATTCCTGAAAATATGTTCATATAAATAAATACAGGACAGATAACCTCACTTCGGTGATAGATAATTTGAGAAATAAAAAGGTAGAATCTTCATCTACAAACTTTTTCTACTTATGCGTATGTGTATGTACTCAAATAATGTATTTAAAAAATACAACTCAGCTTTCCAACTATCTATAAGGTTCTACTATTCTACTTGAAATCAGGAATGGAACAGATATCACTACTGTTCCGAGTTTAGTAACTATTAGTTACTTCTGTACACCTTACCTTACTTCCACCTAAATACCCTCCAGCTGCACCAAAACTTTTAGTAAAGGTTCCCATCATGATATCAATTTCTTTAGGATTGATACCAAAATAATCTGTTACACCTCGACCATGAGGACCTAAAGCTCCAATACTGTGAGCTTCATCTAAATAGACATAGGCCTTATATTTCTTTTTCAATTCTAGAATTTCAGGCAGACGTACAACAGATCCTTCCATACTGAAAAAGAGAAATAGTCAATATTAAATTTACAAATATTTAAACCTACAACCCAAAATTGGTCGTTTCTATAACTATTTTATATTAAGATAACTTATCTTCTTGAACCTGTATTTCTATTGATGTAGTTTCGTAGTAGTAGTGTATGTATTCAATAGACAGATAACACCAAGTCTACTTTACTGTATTGGTAAATTCTAATTTGAAAGACTCATGATATAAATTTTCGTTCCTCATTTACTTCGCTTATTCTGAATAACTGCTTTACCTATAAACCCCTTCAACAACTATCAGTATTTTCTTCCATGGTCTATGCGTTCGTGGCTGTCCTTCAGTAATGGCAGATTTTAACTTCTTTTCTAAATCAGTCATATCTAAAAACAAATAACATGCTACATTACATTAGAAAACAGATACAAGAGATAGGTTACTGTGACTATCTGTTATCTTATACATTATTATCATCTAGAAAGATAGTGGATCACAGCCATATACGCCCTTCACTGCATTCGGATGGTAAAAACCAAACATCCATTTAAGTTTCATCAAAATCGGTTGAAAACTAAGAGAGTAATAGCATATTCAAGATTATGGGGCAAGGGCAATAACTCTGCTTCTAACGGTCGAAAATAGCTCAAATTCGAACTTGATCTTCGTTTTATGAATATGTATACACATACCGAATTTCATTTGATTCCATCAAAAAATCTAGTTTTTAGAGCGTTTACATGCAAATGTTGACGGACGGATGGACCGATGTACCGACGGACGGACAATATACGTCCACATGGAGAGATGTGGGTGTGTAAAAAGCATGGCTTTGACTTCAAATGCTTAGATATTGAAAGACCATTTATTGATAGATAAACTACCACAAACATGTGTCCATATTACTATCTTGGCTCTTGATTTCGGTACTTTCATTACTTACTGTTATGTTTAAATACTCTGATTGTGGCACCAGTTAATCTTGATCCTAGCACTAAAGATGCATGATTTAATTCATCACTCAATAATAAACAACCCTAGAATATAAATATAAACACTCAATAATAAATATCCTTAGAATATGAACATCTCTATAATATAAACACTCAACAATAAACAACCATAGCATATAAACACTATAAACACTCAAAAACAACCATCCCTAGAATATAAACACTCAATAATAAACAACCCTAGAATATAAACACTCAATAACAAGCATCCCTAGAATATAAACATCTTTATAATATAAACACGCAATAATAAACAACCCTAGAATATAAACAATATAAACACTCAATAAAAAACATCCCTAGGATATTAACACTCAATAATAAACACCCCTAGAATATAAACATCTGTATAATATAAACACTCAATAATAAACATCCTTAGAATATAAAAAATATAAACACTCAATAATTAACATCCCTAGAATATAAAGATCTCTATAATATAAACACTCAATAATATAAACAATTAATAATATAAACAATAAATAATAAACAACCTTAGAATATAAACACTAAATAATAAACATCATTAGAATAAAAAAATATAATAATCCCTAGAATATAAACAATACAAACACTCAGTAATAAACAACCCTAGAATATAAACACTCAATAATAAACATCCCTAGGAATATAAACAATAAAAACATGCAATAATAAACATCCCTAAAATAAAAACAATATAAAAACTCAATAATAAACAATCCTACAATATGAACAATACAAAAACTCAATAATAAACAACCCTAGAAGATAAAAACTCAATAATAAACAGCCCTAGAATATAAACATATAAACACACAATAATAATAATCAACCATAAAATATAAACAATAAATAAAAAACAACCCTAGAATTTAAAAAATATAAACACACAACCAACATAGAATAATAACAAAATAATTCCTAAATATAAACAATTCTTTTTACGAATAAGAATGACAATAATTACCTTCCCAACTAAACAAGGCATATTCATTGAATTTGTAGCAAAACCCATTGGGAACGTCACAGCATCCTCTACACCCAGAAAATCTGCTATTTTAGTTTCTAGTTCCCTGTGGATATGTGTATATCCTTAAAATAGAATTTATTACAATTTATTATATTTGTGTAAAAAGAAGAGTTGCAGTTGAAAATATCTCAATATCTCATTGAACCCATTATTATTTCCTGCTCATTGTCATTTATATGTTGTGCATGCATTGGACAAATTGTTGATAAGGAAATTGAATTTAATTTTTGACAATGCAAAATGAGTATCATTCGAGCACTTTACTTTAATGGGAGAGTCCATGCAAATATTTTTTTACAAGTGTAACAGAACAGGTTTTCATAAATTACTTATGAGCAATTTAATGCTGGGTATTGGTTATCATGTACAATATGTATATCATATAACTGCTACAATACGTTACATATCCCTATATAGAAATAGATAAATGATCTTAAAAAAACAATGATTTTTTGTTGGTGTATATTTTATGCTAATTAACAGAACAATATTACTTGTTGCTTAGATTCGCCATGTTTACATTAACAAAGTAAAATTTCATGCATGACAAGTATGGACAATATACAATGTTATTGGTATATGTGTCACTCTAATATAAATTGTCACATAAAAATTATGATATATCATACCTAACTCTTGACGACTGTTACTAACTGCAATGGAATTATCACTCAAACTTTGAATGGCTGCTTTTGCACAGGGTCCATCTCTCTCTGAGAAACCAAGATAATTATAGGAGCCAAAATTCATTACATGGTACTGTTTACTAGTCAGTCTGTAGAAAATAAAAAGATCTAAGCATAGGTACAACAAGTTATACTGTATCAAATCCTTAAGAACCAATACTAATATGATCTGAAAGCGTATTTGTAAGCTATAAGTAATTAACCTTCTTTTTTTAGCTCAAAGTAATATTTCAATATTTGAAAAAAACTAACTAAGGTAAAGGAGATAATTAAAAATATCTTACTCTAAACTCCAATTGTAATCATCTGAATGACATTCTATAACATCAATGTAAGCTCCAGCTGAACTACCAACTGGTCTATTCCAACAATCTCTTATTCTTCTATAAACATTTCTAGTATAAAAACTCTCCCAACTTTGTAACAATGGTACAAACCCCTATAAAATACAAGTTGAAAATCAGTTTATATTCCTTAAATACAATCTCAACAATTACTTATCATAAAGTTTGACTACATAAAAGAAGTTTTTTAAAATAAAATATGACGAATTAAAATGCCATACCATACCAAAACACAGTCATTCATGGCCTGCAAAAAAATTGAAGGTCCCCCTTTTTCTTGTGATGTACCGAACCTAACGTACTGTAAAAATTATTAGAATGCAATGTCAAAATTGGGAGAAATGTGCTGCTATATATTCTTTGGATGTCTAAATCCTAATATGGGTTGGTCAGCTGCCTACCAAATGATTATATTTCCTATTTTCGTTCCTGTAATCTAAATCTTACGGTAGCACTTTTATTATTATCACAAAACGAATTCTTAGTCTTTTTAGGTCTTGACCTGTTAAAACATTTCAAGGTTGGCTTGTATTTTTTGTTTGTACTTCAGTACCAATATATACCAAATAATCATTCTACAAATTGTTAAAAAATCAAAGAGAGTGCGATTCTCAAACATAACGTACCAAAATCAAATACAAAATTCATTGGTGATAAATAACATACCTTAATCTTAGGTTCGGTGTGACCTCTATTTTTCTCTAAAAATCTAAAATATTCTCTGATATGGCCCACTAAAACTAATATACCATAACACATGACAGTCAATATAGCTGTTAATAATGGTGTTTCTTCAAATGATTCATAAAATGAATCTTTCCAATTTCCCTACAAAAATAATAGAAAATAAAAGTTATTATTTTGTTTGGAAAGAACTGCTTTGTCTTAAAAGCAGTTAAGTTATGTACCAATAATTTGGCCAGTACTTCTATAGGAGATTATCTTCTATAACACCCAACACCAGCTAAAAGGTCATTTTGACGAATGTTCAAGACTCCTGTTGTTAGACCCTACTGTGAAGTGGCCATTCTCAAATTAAAAGTATAAAAAATGGCAGATTGTGATATTCAATATGATTGAAAATAGTTTTAAGAATCTATGGAACTTGGCTATGATTCATCATTGAATATAGATCTGGACCAATAGCTGTTCTTTCATAATGTAATGAAATAGATCACAACATATAACTAAAACATTGAACCAATATTTAAAACAAAATAGATGCAAGCTGGAATTATCATCTCCTAAGGTTGAGTAACTAGAACTATAATTTTACACTACCGGTACCCATAATAGAATTTGGTTTTTAAAGCCCAACGCAGACGAGGAACATTTTAAGCAAACAATCGCAAAAATTTTGTTTCGATCATTTTTTTCACCGTCTGCAGATTACAGAAACATGAACAAAAATGTTTGATTTTTTAAAATTGTTCTCCTCCCGAACAATTCTTTGTCTGCGTTAACGACGAACATCAGCGCCGAACATTCAGCAACCAAAGACCAATCAGCGATCGTTGCCAGATGACATGACACTCAAAATGGCGACGTCCAGTAATCCACCAACACAAAATTTTGGACTGTGGAGAAGGAGCAGATTTTAGTAGATATGTGGTCGCAATCTGCCTGTTTGTTTATGATTTCTTCGCCCGACTATTCAGATAAGAACAAGAAGTACGCTGCGATGCAAGAAATAACACAAGCCCTGGAAACAACCGGTAAATTTACCTCCTTTCGCCCGACCTCGTGTGACTGTAGTGTATTCTGTGCCAACATTGATATAAACTTAAAATCTTTAGACTCCCAATAAAGGGAGATATTTTTCAATAACGCAATTTTACATTTTCTTCTGGACGTCACCATTTTGATTTTCCGTTGCACTGGCGTATTGTTCAGGCTAAACGTTCATCGTCTGCGGAATTATGTTTGTCGTCTGCGGATAACGGAAAACAAATATATTTGTTTGATGTTTTTGTTCGTCGACAGAAATGTTCCTCGTCTGGGTTGGGCTTTAGTAAACCACAATAACAAATTAAGGTAAAGAGAGCATGTCTTTCTGACTTTCTTTCAAACAACAATGTTTAAGCCTACCGGTACTGATGATTAACATATTTTGTAATTTAAAAATAAAAGACATGTTTGCCGTCTTGTACTTGAGCCTCAGAAACAGGAACTTTTTGGCAAGGCAGCAATAGTGATGAAACCTCAAGTAGGGATGTCTACAAATATGGTTTGCCTCTCAGACGCCCATAAGAGGCTTGCGATTATTACACCTCCACAGAGTTGCCGCATTTTTAATTTAGCCTGGACATTGAGTCAGTCTGCCCTCTATTTGTACCCCAGATTCAGGACGCTAACAAAGCAACTGTACATATCACTATAGAAATTTGAGCCTTCAATCCATGTGTGCATAGAATTAACCATGTTTGAAAGTAAAAATTACAACTTGTCTTTTCTTGATAGTTTGCTGTATAGCCTAGAAAAGACATATTGGGTATCTATGACTATAGTACGGTATATTAAAATAAAGTGGCATTTCTAGTTTAAAGTATATCTGAAGGAATTATGCCATTTTCGTGCAATTCTCATACTTCTGAAGACTATTTACATATATATTCAACACAGGTAGTTTTCAACAGGATGTGATATTCAAGACCCAAATCAACCCCCCAAAATGGCCAACCATATCCATGGCTTTTGATTTGATTAAAAAATTACCCAGAGGGTAATGTGTAAAATGAATCTAGGCCTACTCCTAACTTCATATTTCTAAAGCTTGCAGACATATTAAGACTAATTGCATAATCTAGAATTGAAATTCTTGTATTTATACACACTTCAACAATCACTTCCCTTCCAGAAATTTCCATGAAATTGACCCACATTATTTCGGATAGAAAATTCGCTTGTAAAATCCTGTTCCAATATTTCCAAATAACTCGCTAGAATTTTCATTACGGTACTAAAACTAAAAAACAATCTAAGATTTACAGTACAGGGTAAAATTTTGGAGTAAATGGGCCATTTCAATTCATACAAAAACGATTGAAAAATGCGATTCTGAAAACATTACGATCGAACAGTGTAGAGTAGGCCTAGCGCTAGTAACGATAATAACATAACTCACCTCACAACTCCGAACGTCCTGTTTTCCGTTTCGGCCATTTTTCCCATTTGATAAACCATTTGAATTATGTAGACCATTCTCCTTTACTCCATTCTTCATACTCTTTCTTGTCATTGAGCTCATTTTAGAAATCCTTTCCAAATCTCAATGAATAACACCTTTCAGGTGAGTAAAAAAAAATTATGTAGGCCTGAAAGCCAACTCCCAAAATAACAAAATTTTCTCGAATATCGGTGCGTTCGATGTGTTGAATATGTGACAGTTGATCATGGTATGTCACCTTTTCAAATTCGACTTTTTCGACAGATATAAAATGAATATGTTGTAATCATGAAATTAATCAAAGCTACAAATCTATATCATAACAAGTAAATTAATTTGGAGAACATTTCATGTCAAAGAGAAAAATGTTGCATAGTGTGTTCGAACGCGACATTTGTCCATTTCCTGTTATATCATGAAAACTGTGATGCGATTGGATGCAAGTTGGAATACTAACCAATCCTCATTCAGAACATTCTCTGTATGATCTGGTATGATCTTAAAGCTACCATGAAATAATTACTTTAAAGCTAACGTGTATTTAATACACACAATGAACATTGTCTCCTATTTCACTTCAAATATTCCTGACCCCTTGTAATTGTACTGACATTTTGATAATGCCATCATTCAATCACAATATATGTATAATAGGTTTATAGTGCTTGCATCAGTAGGGGATATATCTCGATACGACAAGTCACGCTAAGTATATCTTATCACAAGGTTGTATATTGATATTTTTTTTCATAAAAGAGTGGGAATGGAATCACAAATATTTTTTTTTGTCCATTTGATTGAAACTAATAGAAACATTTTACAAGACGGTAGAGGTTAAACAATCAACAACATCACCAAATATCACAGATACATAGCTACAAAATTAATATAAACCTTGAAAATAAAATGGTAATTTTTATCCCATCCCCCCATATCGCGATACGTATTGTATCACGACCCTGATATAGCAATACATATCGTGGCATGATTGGCGATACCCAACACTAATAACAAGTGTATACCATGGAATGATCTTGATTTTTTTCTTCTTTTTAAAGAAATGGAATGAAGCTTTACTGGCACCAGAATTTTTTTTTTTTTAAAAGATAAAAATGAAAACTCTATTTTAGTGCAAAAATACAATTTTAATTTGAACTATTAAATTTGGGTACATAAAAACAATTAAAAAATATAAGTGATAGTCCAATAATTTGAAGTAAATAAAACAACAAATATATCATGTGTTTCTCCTCATGGCTAAGTTTAAAATACTGATTTTAATATACATGTAGTCTGAAAACATCAAAAAGGAAGTCAAACAACAATTAGCATTAGATATATCTAACAATAGATATAAATAAGCCTATATTGCATTCATTACCATTTACAGTGAACAACTCTTATGAATAATTAGTATGCAAAAATTGTTTAATCAATATTAACTGATTAATTTTAATTTCAGCTTCAAAATAGTATAAATAATCTAAAATGGCTTTGCATTGATAAAAATATAAATAGAGCACACATATTATCACTTTGAAATTTGTTTTTGCAATTCTTAAATTTAATTTGGAGGGAATTACTTTCAGTACTGTTTTCAAGAGTAGGTTCAAATTTACTGTCAAAATAATCAAAAATTGATGAATAAATTTCTCACCAATGTGAGAGAGCAAGGAATGAATTAGAAAAAAAATCATTTTAGATAGAAACAGGTAGATCATGGATAAATCATCATGTAGCCTATGTGTCTCCTTCATGACAATAGACAAAATATCATATCACACTGATTCCAACTTCATTAAAAGAAATTATCATAATCAGTGCAGGATGAATGAGAATATAAATTAGAAAGTGACATAATCTAGTTGGTTAGCCTCACCATATAACACATACAAATCTACTAAAACAGGATGTTTACACATACAAAAACTAACAATTAAAAATAAAAACTTTAATAACTTGTCAGTTAGAGAGACAAAATGAAGGTTTTTATCAATCTTCACAATGTCAAGCTATTACAAACCGAGTACAAAGTTCGTTATAGCTTGACATTGTAAAGATACTTTTTATCATAAGTTTTGAAGGTTAGTTTAAGACAGGTTTTAAAAACATAAGGACATAATGATATGCTAAGCTTAGATAAAATGTTTCAAATTTCAAACTTGACCTCAGTTCTAAAATCATAGGTTTTAAAGGGGCATTCTGAATTCACCTAACTGAGAAAGCATACATTACAGACTTATCTGATAGCAAATATTAACCCTTTGTACACCAAGTGAACTCCCAGTAATATAACTTAATGTGTATGACGTTAGGAGTTGTGTGGGAACAATCCACTCAGTTATATATTGCGTAATAATTATGTGGCTGTAAAACCAACTGCAATGGTTGATAGGGTTATTAAAATGCGAGCCTTATTTTAAGTTTCCAAGCTGGCAAACAGTTCCAACACAAAATAAAAAACTTAACAACTAAGAACATACAATAAAATTTTGAACATTTAAAGGTGTATTATATACTTATGATGCCGTCAACCGCCGTAATACACCAGCAAACATTACACCGGTTGACATTGTCAGCTAACGATTGCTAACAGACCTTATATCGCGTCAGCAAGTGTAAACACACACGCACAGATGCTTGCATGCGCTAACCCAATTTTCCAGATTTGATTGTCTGTCTTGTCTAATAGCTTCTTGTGATTGGTTTAAATGTCGGCTTATGAGAATTCAGGACTTGCACCGTTATACAGCGAGTACTTGCTGACGTGGATAGTAAGAACCTATATGAGCCGACCGCCGACCATAAGTGTATGCTTGCATATAAGACAGCATCAGATGTATAAATCCACCTTTATAGACAAATTAACAAAGAAAAAAAACATTTTCCACAGCATTTTATAAAATTTTCATTTTGTTCAGAACAAAATTTTAAAGGGATAAATAGACCTACCACAATAATCAAAAACGTTTGGAAAATATTTTAATCAATGGATGGAATAAATATTATAAATAAGAACAATATTAGATAAAAAAGGCACAAGCAATTTCTACTGAAAATAAAGTTTTTAGTTTCTAAATGGAATTGAGTTTATATTTAAAGTGCTGAACATACAAAACTACTCAACCACACTGTATTTATCTATTATGGTAAACTAATATCAGGAAAAAAAGTTGCAAATAATATCAAAATTTAGCATTTTGATTATTCGTGCAAATTGATACCAGGATATTTTAATTCCTTTTTGGATTATCTATAAAGTAGATTAATATATCCCTTAAATCACACCTGCAAATTAGTATGTCTTATATCTATTTCAAAATCCCATCCTATTTTCTATGATGTTTTAAAGAAATAATTTGCCTAAAATGTGTGTTGAGAAAAACCATAGCCTAGTATCAGCTATATCTTGTATCATACTAACTGGAGCTTAGCTATGGTACAACATGTTCATTTAGATGAAGCTAGGCCCCCTTTTTGAAAGCTATCCATCTTTCACCTATTTCCCATTTCATTGGTAATGTGATCAATGTCATAATAAGTTCAAACTGGCAATCATTTAAGTTACTAGTCATATATACCATATGATTTACTCAATAATATATATAAACAAACTCATCTGGATACATTTGTTTAAATATATTAACTCATAAAAACTGTGGTACATATACTTAGGAATATCAGGAAATAGAATTTCTAACTGAAACTAGTAGTTGTATGAAGAAATTCTTAACATGGTTTATCACAGAAGAATAAAATAATATTTATTTATTTATATTGTTTGGATTAAATATCAGGTGTTAGAATTGAATTGTTTAATTTAAATCAAACTGGATTATGAAGCATATCCCAGTTTTTAACACTTAATAATGAATATCCACAGATTCTATTTACATTTCATATATTCACTTATCAAATAGGCAATTCCTGTATCAAACAGGAAATTATTGACACAAAAGTGGAGGAGGAATAGGTAAAACTACCCATTGGATCTACTAAGAAAATTGTAATATTCCTTCCTACACTGGGCTAAAGAAAGATGTGATGTGATGTATTAAATATTTTTACCACAATTATTTTTGTGTGGATATCATTATCAATTTACGTTTGATGAAATAGTTGTAAGGTTACCAAATATAATTTGCAAATAGAAACAGGACTTCAAGCAAACCTTTCAGTCCTGCTCGGCCTTTCTTTCCCAAAACATTGAAAGAAAAATAATACTTCTGGTAATGTTCAGCAGATAATTACGAGGTATGAAATAAATGAACAACGAATATAAAATGCGTCATAAAGGAAAAGGCTACTAATTGAGCTTGGGATATTAAAACATTGATAAATATCTCTTGAAAGACAAAAATAAATCTGATTATTATCAAGATATATTGCTAAGTCATTGATTAACAAAAATGAAAAATATATCCGACAAAAGTGAACAATTAATGATTGCAGCACACAAATCTACAAAGATTTAAACAAGGAATTATTAAGACTTTGTTTATCAAGGTGCAAATATGGAAATAGCGCCTTGTTTTTGGGTGGAAAATAACCTTTACTTTTAGAAGGTCCCTTAACAGTTTGAAATGACAAAAAAGTTGGCTAATACTACTATCCTGGCAAATTTTGCATAAAAAAGAATATCATGAGCTTTCAATATCATGGAACCTAAAATATAGCCAAAAGAGAAATAATTTCCCTGCTTCGGACCCCTCTATTGTATTTTGGTTCATCCATATATCACATCAGAGGAACAGGTAGGGACAGAACTAACTGAGTTAGATATACCATGATGATATGATGAATTATTGTAGCTATATTACAAGAAGTATATGTTAGACAGTTACATAACATACATATGTATATATTAATTATTGTTTGAGTATGTAACAATTAAAACACAATCTGTCCATTGTGTAATTTGGTTAATTGGCTTAAATCAATACATGTACATTGTTCATTTTAAAGTTTCAGCTTTATAGATTGATAGAACTCAATTTCAGATATCTGTATCTCTTTTCAGAATTTATTTACTTAAAAGATAAAGATGGCCATTGGGATAGCCTCACAATAATCGTAATGGCAGTCATGTTGTCTTGGAGGTTGACAGTAACTATCAGTAAATAAAACATACCAAGATTAACATTTTCATACTACTAGAGCTTTATTCACAGCATTTTTGTTTATGCTGATATACTCAAATATGGCAAGATTCATGCAAATCCAAAAAGAACTTACTTTTGTTCAGTGTCCACAAAATTTAAAAAGGACAATAACTTTGTAAAGCAAAGTTGGAAAACTCTGAATTTCAATAGGCCTCTTCCTTTTTCTGAAATTCACAACCATAGCAAGTTTCATTAAAATCCATGACAAATTTGGCTCTATACAGTGTCCACAAGGTTTAGGAGACAAGGGAATAACTCAGTAAATGAAATGACTGGAGTTTTAGGTCCTACACTTCTGCACCTAATTGAGCTAATGAAGACAGGCCACATCATGTTGTGTGCAATGAAGGAACTCAGTAGGAAAACTCAAATTTCAAAGACTTCTTCCATATACTGATAACTGTAAAAGCAAGTTTCGTTGACATCCGTCAAGAAACCAGCTCTCTATCAAGTCCCAAACAATTGTTGACAGACCGACAGTGCGACAGACATTCAGGGGCAACGGCTACATACACCCATGGTCTGGGCGCATAAAAAGGATTGTAACAGAAAATATGTTTCTAACATTCTCACTTGCAGTCATAACAAACGACATCATGATTTGGCCATATCTGCATGCAAGAAGGTCTAATCAAACTTAAACCAAACTTTCGTTCCGTTTTTTACTAGGTTTTATTTTTAATATCCCCTTCAAACGACAGCCCTCTTGAACATTCATCAAATTAACCTTTTGACCTTACTTTAACTAATAAAATCCACTTTGAGCCGCTGTGTTCATCACGTTAATCGAAAGTTTGGTCCAATTTTAATTAGACTGCATGTACGATTCATATTGAAAAGTGATACAATAGCTGATATCAAGTTCCATAAATAAGATAATATTTAGATGATTGTTTCCTTTATATATTATTTTTAATATGATTGTAAAATTATGACGTTTAGGATTTCAATATAAATACCAGTATTCTTGAACATATGACTTGCATTATGGATAGGTTGTTCAGAAAACTAAAAGGGTTGTGTTCCATACAAACATCTATTGTAATATCAAAATGTTAACCAGCTCATATCAATGGGAATGTAGGAAGATTATCTAACAATATTATGAATGCCTAATTACTCAGTAAAGAGGCTTCTTTTTGACTATCATTTCCACACACATAAAGCATACATGTTAATCTTAAATATATATCAGTGATTCTGATTGTATAAGAAAACAATACATAAAATAGCAAACATTCAAATCAACATCTTGTAAATATAAATATAGATAGAATATTATGCTTAACACAATAAAATAACAAATAACATAAAAATATAACTTTCATTCTTCATGGGACCATTGTTGAAAATAAAATCAGAGTCTTTATGTTGATTTCAATGATAGATGCAAATAATTGTGTTAGCTGAAAGAAGAAAAGTGAATTTTAATCTAAAGTGAAGAGAGGAATATAAAGAACTAAGGTAAACACAGAAAGCAAGTATTTTAAAAGGGCGGTTATTTTCAACTTTTTAGTCTAAAGTCTAATACTTTCGAAATCTGACTACTGAAAAAGTGAGCCACCTTGTAAAAACATCCAATTTAACAACTACTGTTCTTACCTGATTAAAATTGAGTCATCTTCTCGGTAGTCAGCTATCCTACTTTTCTTTGAGTATTTAAGTTTTAATTCTGTGCCAAATTTGTCAAACAATTCTAATGTCTGCAAAAAAACAAACAATTTGGTTAAAAGACCAAGAATAGGTTGTCAAAATAGTAATGGTCTTTAAAAGAAATAATAAAACAAAGGCTCAAGAGGAAAACTGTCAAGAACTACTAAGAACTATGGACATATTAGCTTCATTTGAGGTATAAAAATAAAACAAATGTCAAATGCTTGTCTTATTTCTTAAAAGCATATTGTACACTGAAAGGCAAAAGAAACACCACAGAGATGTATCATATTATATCTTTTCATTAGTTTGTAAGGACATCTAGAATTAAAGGCAACTAAAAGAGGCAGTAGGATATAAAACGAGTTTCTTGACCACAAAATATGTATATGCCGTGCCTTGTAAGGTTTATAAATATTTTCAGAAGTTTCAGAACCTTTCCGCATATATTTATCATAAACTAATGAAATGAATCAGTTGTAATAAATAATCTTTTGTTTTTACCTTATCTAACATTTCTGGTGTATGAGAAGCTGATAAACATAGTCTGGCTCTAGATTCAATAATAGGAGTAGCTGGAAAGCCTACCACCACTATACCTAATCCTTCAGCTAAACATTTACGACTCAAAGCCCTGCAATAGATATATTTACAATGTAAACTTAGAAAGTAATATCAGATTGTCACGTCAGATTCCTGCAAGTGCAAATACATTGATCATCTATTATTTTCTTTTGTATCCCATTGGACTGAACTCCAGTTAGCCAAAAGACATTACAAACTGATAATTTGATGTTGTGTTGATCTACAATTATAGCAAACGAAAGGGTAGGAGGTTGCAATTTCACTTGGATTTTCAATGGCATCAACTATACCTAAACAATTGTTGACTACAAGATGAAAATTTTAATCAATCCTGTAAAAGTAACAACATTTTCTGATGGCATGATCATTGTTTTTAGGAGTTTCTCACAACAGAAAATATAAAAAATACATACACAACTTTAGTTGGATAATAAATTAGAACAGGTACTACAGGAGAATCTTTATTTCCATACACAATAAACCCCATTTCTTGTAATCGACGACGAATATATCTTGTATTCCATGCTAGCTGACGAATACGTCTTAAACCTATAAAATGATCATTTAAATTTTAATAATTTTGAATTATATTGTTTACTTTCTAACAAAAGTCATCACATAACAATATATTGATGTGCATAGTACACTAAACAATAAATAATGATACAGATACTTAAGCTACTTAAAATTTGCATGTTTAGACTATGTACATGAATATGTATATATCCATTGTCTTCAAACAATACAAGTGAAATTATTGTTACTATAATCACAAATTATGACAATGGAAAGTATTTGCTTTGCTACATTAAACTACATTAACAAATACAATGGTTCTTAAAACTTGGTTTCCACCATTGTGGTTTGTGTTTATACCAACAACAATTTTGCATTCATTGAGAAGGAAATATGAGCCATAGTTACAGCTTTGTGGATTCACCAAAAATAAAACAATGTACATACCGTCATTACCATTCATTTGTCCCATGATAATTTTCATACTAGTAATAACTTGTTTAGCAACTGGCGGTGACATAGAACAAGAGTATACAGCACTGTGTGAATTGGCTTTCAGGTAGTTTATCAATGTCTATAATACAAAAAAAGATGTCATTAAATCTGTAATTTGAGCTATTAAATCTGTCAAAGGTTCATATGACAAAAGTCTAATGAAAATTACAGGAGTAAAAATAAATTTGAGGAAAGCAGTTAAATTTCCTTTTGATGGATTTCACTAAAAATTCTCCATATTTTAAGTCCACAGTTAATACTGGTTTATATCTTGAAACTCTATACTAACCTTAGAACCACCAATATACCCTCCAGCTGCACCAAAACTTTTAGTAAAGGTTCCCATCATGATATCAATTTCTTTAGGATTGATACCAAAATAATCTGTTACACCTCGACCATGAGGACCTAAAGCTCCAATACTGTGAGCTTCATCTAAATAGACATAGGCCTTATATTTCTTTTTCAATTCTAGAATTTCAGGCAGGCGTACAATAGATCCTTCCATACTGAAACAAAGCATAAACTTTATCTAAGAGACCAATACTTTACTAACTGATACAATTAAAGATTCCATGATTAGTTTTAAAGCAATTGTAGAATCATTTCACAAGGCCAAGAAAGAGGACAACTTTAAGCAAAATCCAAAAAATCTGGCTAAAAGTCATCATATTACACACCCTAAGGGGTGATATGGAAATAAATCCTTCAAAACATTTGAATTAATTTTGTATCTGTTTACTCCTGAGTTATTGAATAAAATTCGCTTTGATGCAGATTGACCTACTCTCTTTGCAATCAAACTTACCTATAAACCCCTTCAACAACTATAAGTATTTTTTTCCATGCTCTATGTGTTCGTGGCTGTCCTTCAATTATAGCTGTCTTTAATTTTTTTTCTAAGTCTTTAATATCTAAAAAATAGCAATTAAACAGTACATAAAAGGAATAAAATGCATTCATAACCCAAATACACTACTGATATTATATCCGAAAACTTTTAGATGTTGATTTTATTTTTGAATAAATAGATACATTAATTACATTGACTTAGATATTGATCAGAACTTACTGTTATGTTTAAATACTCTGATTGTGGCACCAGTTAATCTTGATCCTAGCACTAAAGATGCATGATTTAATTCATCACTCAATAATAAACAACCCTAGAATATAAACAATATAAACACTCAATGATAACAATCCTTAGAATATAAACAATATAAACACCCAATAATAAACATCCTAAGAATATAAACAATATAAAGACTCATTAATAAAAAATCCTTAGAATATAAAAACTCAATAATAAACATCCCTAGAATATAAACTCTCAATAATAAACAACCCTAGAATATAAACACTCAATAATAAACATCCTCTCAATAAGAAACATCCTCTCAATAAGAAACATCCTCTCAATAAGAAACATCCTTAGAATATAAACACTCAATAATAAACATCATTAGAATATAAACAATATAAACATTCAATAATACACAACCCTAGAATATAAACATTCATCAATAAACAACCCGAGAATATTAACAATATAATCTTCGATAATAAACAACCTTATATATAAACATGCAATGATAAACTAATTCAACCTTATAATTACCTTTTGCATAAAACATGGAAGATTCATGGAATTTGTAGCAAATCCCATAGGAAATGTAATAGCAGCTTCTACGCCTAAAAATTCAGCAGTAACTGTATCTAATTCTTTGTGTATGTTGGAATAACCTGTAGAATTAAGCAGTAGAACATATGAATCTTCTATGAATTTCAATTCCATTTTTTTGGTAATATTGACAAACCAATAGGTTTTGCAATCTGTGTGGAATTTCTGTCATTCAAAGATTATAAAATGTTTACTACTCCACTGCTAGTGCTTTTATAATGTGCTGAGCAAGTTGTCATCCAATTGTAAAAAATGTACTTACCATATTCTTGTCGTGTTGAGCAGACACCAACACCAGCCTGTGATACACTGTCTATAGAACTAGTGGCACATGCTCCAGTATTTTCAGAAAAACCCAGGTAGTTGTAGGATCCCAAGTTCATTACATTTAATTTCTTCCCAGTAATACTTAAATAAGAAATGAAATTCATCTCAACTGATATGATATAAGAATAATAAACCACATTAAGTTTTTCAATCCTCATATGAGACAATAAGTCTAAATGATGTGCTAGCTAGTGATTGGAAATCGGTTGAAAATCATAATCAATTATAGGTTAACATCCGTTTGACCTTACCAATTGACTAACCGATTAATAATCGGTTAATTAATAGATGATAGAAACTGATAATTTCATAGTATTTACAGTTTTTAGGTCAGGGTAGCTTCCTGGAGGGAGGTGCTTAACAGAGGTATGAATCACCCAGTTTTCCCAGTGAAGAATGACACTTTGAACATACAATGGAGTACAGTTATTTTCATAACACTTTTGAAAAATTTTATTAATGATATTGAATGATACAGACAATTTGAAAAGGGGATAATATTTTCAACAATGGTACTCTACTACTGTGCTGAAACGTTGTGCGCTATGTGTTAAACCAATATGTTACCCCACGAACACCTGAAGCTGAATGTGATGCTATTTATAGAATGCTTCTACGAAATAAATTAAAGGAATGACATGTGTTTTCATCATTTTTGTCAATTTAATACCAAAATTGTTTTGTTTAGAATGAAGATTGTTTATATATATATGAATTCATATAGATCTTTAACAATATTTGTTCAAATCAGCTCTATGAGTTCTCAGACAAAATTTTGTGTCAAAATCAAAAAGTCAAAATCGAAATGATTAAGGCAAATGCTTGATTTTGTTGATAAAATAGTAGTTGTGAATTGCATTAAACAAGTTTTCATATCTGCTTCAATTGTTGTGAGTTGGCTAACCTGTGTTCAGTCAGTGTTTGTCGTCTGCTAAAAGTTAGGCTAGTTTGAAGCAGTCATTGTGAATTAGGAAGCTTGGAAAGTGGTGGGGGTTTTGATCATCAATAATTATCAATAATTAAGACTTCACACAGAAATGATATAAAAGTGATTGGCATTGCTTTGTTTTTACTTACTCTAAATGCCAATTGTGATCTTCAGATTTTCTTTCTAAAACATCAATATAAGGACCAGCTTTACTGGCAATTGGGCGATTCCAACAATCTCTGACCCTCCGATACATATTCCTTGTATAAAAACTTTCCCAGCTTTGATATAACGGTACAAAGCCCTGAAAGACAATATATTACATTCACCTTAGTGATAAAAAACTAAAAAGTCTCCTGTTGCTAGGTTGTTATGCTTGATCACTTTACAAATGCAGCTAAAGGTTGTATATAGCTCTACGCCACTAAGACTCTTACAATGTTAATTGTACTTTTTCTGCATGACTGCAGAAGTCTAACTGAAGAAAAATCTATAGTTGAGTGTTTTATTCTTTACATGAATTTAAAATAGAACAATAATTGTCAGGCATTTTATCAAAAAACACGCACCACTACTTTCACAAGAATTCCAATATCGCTGAAAGATAATTACCTCTAATTTTGGTTCACTGATAGTTTTATCTTCTTCTAAGCCATAGTATCTGAAATTTTCTCGAATATATCCGATCACAACCATGACAAAGTAACATAAATATGTTAATATAGCAGCAACTAACGGTGTTTCTTCAAAAGATTCGTGAAAATCTTTCTTCCAATCATCCTAAAATAATAAAATGCTTTGAAATAAGTGAAATTTAAGTAATATTTCAAACACTTTCTGATAATAAACTTTAGAAAATAAATCTTGAATAAATGTGGATCTTCTCCACTAGATCTTAATTTTTTATTTTATTAACAGTACCAAGTTTAATGAAAATTGATTTAATACTGAAGAACCATTGTATTTTCACTATTCAAGATCAAATGGACTTGTTGGTTGGAATTTAAATTCTGGCGAAATTTTTAAACATTTCATTTTCATCATATAGCCTACTGTATCGTTTTACGAAAACCTACTGAAATCTTTATACAAATGTGAGATTAATGGGAATAATGTAATGAAGTTAAAATTAGGAACGGGATCGAATTCAAATTTGAACTATATGAATTTTAAGTTAGCCAAACCTAAACACCAAATTTAATAAAAAATCTGCCAAAATACACAAGCATCTAAATGCCAATTTAAGGTATTTACAGTGAATCAAGGGTTGTAACAATATTTATCAAGTCAAACACAATTCAAACTTGTCCAAGATCTTGTGGATATAAAACTACACAACAAATTTGATAAAATTCTGAGTCTTTATCGTGCTGAATGGACAGATAGATGGACTGACAGACAAGCATGACGGCAATATCTGTCCATATTATAACTTTTTTTTCAATTAAATCAATTAATAACGAAGGCCTACCATTTTTTCAACCATGAAATTTTTGTTGTTCAAAATATCAACATTACTTAACTTAGCCAAGGAAATTAAAACTTATTTATGACTATTTACGTCATACATTATAACAATAATAATGGTGCCAAGCAACAATTGTCATAAAACAATATGAAACTCAAACCAGTGAATAGACTGCATGCACAAATTTGTTTGTGTATAAAATTTTCCTTAATGGGTCATTTGTTTTTTTTCAATAAGTTTTTGTGATTTGGAAAACATAAACCTGCATGCCAACGTGTACGGGAAGATGTCCCTTACCTTTCGTGAAAGTTTCAACATGAAATTTACAAGTGTTATACAATATTTGACACAAAAATGAATGAAATCTACAGACCAAAATGAAAAGGTATTTGTCCCCTACATCATTTGGAGATTTAAGTTCGTCTGGTCTTACAGAATGACATAGTGCCAAATATTAGTATGCCTAAAAAAATAGTGTGCTTGAATAAGTGCCTAATTGACGTTATGCCTTTAATCATTGTGCCTAAATAACGATGTGCCTATATGACCTCTGGTAACTGACCAAGAGCTTGAAAGAAGTATGCCTAAAGTACCATCTAACTGACTTTTGTACCAATACTTAAAATATTTATGCCCAAATGAGTGTCCATTTGAAAATGTTACTCTAGTAGGCCTACAGTAATTGAAGATTTCATTTATCAATAATTAAGAACCCAATATTCAGGCCTATTTGGCCTATTATTCCATTGTTAAGGGGTAGCCAAGCCGAAAGTTGAACTATTTGTCTGAACATGTTGAAATGATTTATCAATTATACAAAGGTAGAAATCAATTTTGGCTAATATCAATTAACCAAGTTGAATTATGTCAGAACATTTAATCCAATTCATTAAAATTACCAAACTACCGGTAGGCCTATATATTGTGAAATATCACTACCTCACAATATCCGTATCTTATAACTTATAGTATTTAGATAAACAACATGATAAGCTCTCTTTAGGAGATCAAATGAACAGTATTACTCACCTGTATATGACCATTTCCATTTTTACCATTAACTCCATTCTTGTGACCATTTTTGTGTACCTTAGTTATATTGTTATTGACATTCCTGTCATAATATTCTTGATTGAATTTCGTCGAATTTTCCATTTTTAATAGGTTCAGTTCGCCCCTTCCTATCATGATTTGTTTTGAATAGACTGGTTTATAAATGATAGTAGAATTTCACTCAACCAATCAAAAAACACCTTTAGCCTATATGTCCCAGTTATTTTACTACACCGCTGTATTCTTATCAATATTATACCCAATACTGAATACTGTTAACACGAAATCTTAAATATTAGTCTCATCTAATCACAGACTTATAACAGAAGATTTCATAAACTACTGAGCGTTGACCACAAAATCAAAATATACACACATTTATTTATGTGTACTGGTATTTATTTTGACAACTGTGTTGTTGGTTGCTAATGCTTGAGGAATTATACTAAGGGAGATTACTACTAGTACTATACGTAAACAATATTAATCGGTTCTGTTGTTCACATTAACAATTAATTAATTAAGCTTAATTAATCTCTATGGCGGCTATGATCACATATAATATTAATTAATACATAATAATGAGATAAACATACGGTACACTAATTATTGTTGACCAGATCACAGGTGTAGACTAGGCTAGGACCTAAATGCAGCCATACATTCTTCTCGAAGTCTAGCTAGGCTGCTGAGAATTAAAAAAAAGAAAAAATATTAGGCCTAAATCTATAAGGAATCTAGGTAAAAGTTTTATATAATAAAGAAAGCAAATGAACCAGGCAAGATCTATCCAGTAACCTATATAATTAGCCTATAATTAATTAACGCATTTTGACTAGGCTAAGTCACATTAGGCCTATCCAGAGAACTGTAAAGTTCTCTATGGCCTATCCTAGGAATCTAATATGTAAAAGACCACATTTAGGGAATTCTCAATTAATCTCTACAGAGTAGGCTAAAAAGTTAGGCTTGCTAAATGTTGTTGAACAGGCCTAAAAAAGACTGAGAAGCCCTAATTAATTTGACAAAAGTTTATAATATTTAGATTCTTTGTTGACGATATCAAAAACGACGAAGAAGCACCCCCGTTCGTTAGGGTGAGGTCCGTGGGGGTAGGCCCGAGCAAGTGAGAAATCCCAGAATGGCAGAAAACCCTCTTCAGTTCATGCAGCAGAGATCGATTCATTTACAGTGTACAAATCAAAAAGATATAGATTTTTATATGTTTTTGGCACCACATAATTGTCAGAAATGAGTTCTCTGCACCTTTAATTCTTCAAATTTTCTGAGTATAAAACCTGAGCCCCAGGCCAAGCACCAATTCATTCCCTCCGACGCGGCTGCGCGAAGAGGTCACCGTCAGCATTCCAAAACCGGTTCCGAAAGCCTGGCATTGTAGCAAGGCCTAGATCTAAACTTTACTGATTGATTGATATACAAATTATGCCACTGTCCACGCCAAGTCATTGATAAAAAAAAAAGTTACCAAGATTCACGTTATCTCAAAATCGCACTGCATATTCGCAAATCTTTTTAGTTCGGTAGTTCAACTTCAAGGGAGGTAACAACATAGAACTTCAAGGGAGGCAACCCTCAGCCCCTAATCTGAAGTTTCTGATCCATGACAACTTACCTGATAAAAGCCCTGACAAGATCAAATCTTTGGCCATTTACAGCAAAACATGAACGTTAAAACAGGATTTCAAACATGCAATACCGTTTACACAAAAACAACAATGATGCCCACAAAGGGCGTATATAATAGGCCTACAATAACATCTTATCTTATCTTTATCAGATTTTTTCAAGTTACTGTCAAAGTGGCCGGGGTTGTGAGGGAGGTTGAAGTTTTGTAATTGTTCAGATGGTATTCAATTGAAGTAGCAAGTATCTAGTAACAGACCACACTAACTGATCGCAAAAGGACAACTGTATAGCATCTTTCGTCAAATAGGATCTTTTACTTCCTATGTTTCTAAGTTAGAGACGGCATTTTATAAGATCTTTGATATACTTTGAAATGTTGAGAATTGAGTCAATAAAGACACCAAGATTTTTACAACAGATGTAAAAGATATATCTGAATGTCCAATCTGATTGTCCAATAATTGTATTTTTTATTTTTTTTGCTGACATTTGGTCATTCGGATAGAAGTTCAAAACAGCATTGCTTCCATTATTCAGCTGTAGGTATACTTCGATGACATCAAATATTTAGCATCGTTTACACCATTTGGGTGAAATGGTAGATTGCTGGTTTGAAAGCTTCCGAGAGCTAAAGCTGCTTCTAAAAGGCCAGTGTCCACATGAATGCCTATATACGCGTTTTCGTGGGTATTTTAATTCATACAGAAATGATTGCCAAAATTCAAATCAGAAAACATTGTAATCTGAGAGTAGATCTATAATTTACTTGATTCAACTTGGAATTTCGGTCCTAATTTTTTAACACGAAAGTTCGAAATATATATATTTTATTCTAGGTTAAGAATTATGAAGCATCGAGCAGCAATGAATTAAGTCTGTCCACCATTCTTCCAGTGGAAATTACAAGATTGCAGATGGAACAAGTATGCATGCATTTATTTATTATTATGAAACAAGAAGTGACTCTGAATGTTATATAAATATAAATATTTACGATATTAACAATATACAGCTGTGAAGCAGTTGCTGCACGTTTTGTTCCGTGTAGGAATCTATAGTTATGAAAAAGTATTAGTAATTGACTGACCTTGTAGGCTTCTCTGTTTGAGGAATCATAATTAATGAAATGCCAATTATATAGGTATTATGTAAGCCTATTGGTCAAGAATTATGCCTTCTAGAGTGTTTACGAGCAATTTAAGAACAAGGGAAATAACTTATATTACATAGAAGTTTTTAGGAACTTCTTCACTCTTAACACTAGATATTTTTTGTCCTTCGGTGATTACAAACACTCATACTAAGTTCCGTCGAATTTCGTCAAGAATTATGCCTTCTTGAGTGCAATTGTGGACAGACGGACGAACGGACGGTTGGTTAGTTGGTTGGTAGATGACAAGTTAACGTTCGCTTCCAGCGGATGCTGATATCGCAAACTAGGTAGTTGTTGGTATTCGTATATATAGTAGTTGCTAGTTGGATTGGTTCAAATTGGATGATCTGTGTTGTTGGTTTGGTTGTTGATTCTTCGTTAGATCTGGTCGGGTCGAATGACATGGCGGTGAAACTCGGCCCTGGATGGTGTGGCGTGAGTTACGCTATCTCCATCATTCTTTAAAACTCGTTCTGATCATGGTATTTCTTGTTGATTGGTAGTCGAATGGTAGTCGTTGGTTTGGTTTGGTTTGGTTAGATTATTAGCATTCTTTAAAACTCGTTCTGATCATGGTATTTCTTGTTGATTGGTAGTCGAATGGTAGTCGTTGGTTTGGTTTGGTTTGGTTAGATTATCTAATAACTGTTGGAAAACTAGAAGAAGTGTGAGAAAAGAGGGGTAAAGAAAAAAAAAAATAAGCTTTCAACAAAAGGGGAAAAGGGATACTCCAAGTGTCGTCTGCTAGAATATATTCCAACGAATGAAGTCACGTGATCAACTAGCGGATTCTGTGTCAGCAGATAATTTCTATGGAACACAAAGTGGACCATATTCTTATGTTGTTTCAGTGACTTTTAGCAATAAATCACGCTACGTATCTGATTTTGTCAGTAACTATTTTTTTATCGTGGTTCTTTGAAGGAATGGTCACTAGTTATAATGAATTGATATTATAGATGAATACTAAGAGAAGTTAATTATACCACCCGGTATCCATATAACGTGTTTTTCTAGACTTATTTATAGATCAAACATTGTACACGAAAATAGGTGACGCTTGTTGCCGCTGTTGCCGAGTTGGTTGCTCATGAATGTGGGTCAAAGTGGAGGATTCATAAAGAAAATCGAAATAAACCAATTTTAATTATTTTGTAGAATATCTGAGGAAACATCTAAGAAATAAAAAAAAAATTTCGTTTTTTTATTCTTTGACGAAATTCAGTGTTGAATCCTTATATCCACGAAAATAGGTTACACCAATGTACGTTATTGGTCCGGAATGTGACTTGAAAAGGATTGCGACAGGCTTTGTGTGATTGACTAATCCTTGATGGCTGTGAACACTAAATAGAGTGTGTGTGTGGAGCACATGAACCTAGCTAACGTTATCGAGTGGCGTTTCAAGCTTTTGTAGTGATCTTTAAATATCATAAGCCAATTATAGTTTTTATTTCACCTATTTACCAGTGAGGACTTGTTTTGTTGTGTCTTTTGGGAAAGAAAAAATAATATAAGGGGCGCAACTCGTGCTTACGACACTCAATCAATTCAGCCGACCAGTGAGCTAAACTTTATTTTTGGTAAAATATAGAATATTGGATTTCAATTGTAGTTATACCGAATGCAATCCAAGAGAATGAATTATTTCGCGAGAGGGAGATATGCATTGAGAGATTGATGTTGCTTATTAGTAGACATCAATATTTAAGCCTCGTATGTATACACCTGCCACTCAGTAACCGAAAAGGTTACAAAGGTTCCACATGAGGCCACGGTCAGTAACTCGGAAACTGAAACTCCAGACTCAACACTCACAAGTCCTTTTTCTCAAGTGTTGTGGACAATACAACTGGAATTCCCGGGTCGAATATAATAGCCTATGTTGTCTCATCTGAAACTTTAAACCAATCTAAATCTAACTTTAAAAGTTTGACATTGTAAATTATCGCCACCCCAATAGGCCTAAATGAAATCAACCCATACAACCTGAGTTAAATACCCATTTCCAACTATTTTACGTGCGTACCAATAAAATAACCGAGGTAATCTAGAAACCCTTACGGCGTTAGTGTTTAACACAGATCAAAGATCAGAAACATGAATTTTGACTAAAGCTTTTTTCATGCTCACTTTCAAGGAAGTTTTATAAAAGTGAAATAATGTATCGTTCCATTCCGATTCGAGTTATTAGTTCAGTGTAGAAATCTGCATAAAGTTTCTATTATGAGAACAATCTGCGACTAGTATTATTTTATTCGTTCGGATGCATTTGTAAATTAGACATACCATACCGGAAGCATTCATGGTTGCGTTTCATCACAGTACTTCTTAGCTTCAAATGGCGAAATAAACTTGGCTATATGCTGAAATGTTTATGAAAATCAAAGTAAACAGAATGAAATAGACTGTAAAGACAAAACGATAATAGAAGTTTGGAACATGAACTTGCAAGTTATGTTGCTACTGTGATTCTGTAACTAATCGAACCAGAGAAAGCAGATTTAGATTGAATTATCGAACGCGCTCATATTGTTAGCTTTGTTTTGTTCGAAGACGAAATGTGACAGCATTTGTATTAATTTTTCTATTTGGAACTTTATCATCATGCCCAATTTAGAGAATGGTCAAAATAACACGGAAGAAGATATGGAGCAAGATATTCCTCAGAGTGAAAGTTCAGATGAAGAATCTGGCTCAACAGAAGAAGGCGATTCAGGTGACACAATATACATGTACATTATACATAGTATTAGGATAGGGCTTACTACTCTCTCAGTCTCAGTCCGACTATACTTACACTGTTTTAGTGTTTTCTGAATTTAATTTTGGTAATCATTTTCATATGAATTGAAATATCAATTACAAAATAGTACACAGGCCCTTAGCTAGCTCAAATTTACTTAGGAGGGTCTGGTTCGGCTTCTAGCCACCTACTATGCCTATGGGCCCGAAGACAATCTAAGTAAGCCAAATGGTACAGTTGTGTAACCTATTTCATGCATATAAGGATTCAACATCGAAATTCGTCAGATTTAAAAAAAGAAAATTGTTATATTTGGTAATAACTGATATTTTGTTTATGTCAAAGTATACATTTATACATTTTACCTTGCTTGAGACTACTGGATTCATTCTGCTAGCTGACATTGTACAGATAACCCATGTTTATCAAAACAAGCAATTATGCAAATTTGATGGGGGTTGATTTGAGTCTTGAATAGATGTAAATAGTCTAGAAATGTATGAAAATCGCATAATTTTATAAGCTTTGATGTCTTTTCTATATAAGTCCTTTGGTAGTGTCTCAAGTAAAGATGACTCCTTTTTTGAACTTTCAAAAGTGAATTATTCTTGACATACATGGATTTGAAGGCACAAATTTCGCTGGTGAACTGTGAACACTATTACTACACTATGCTAAAAATTCCCATTTGTCAGTCTAATGTATGATTTGGCGTAAAAATGGCATTGGTCCCTTCAGACCATGATTGCTGAAATCTGTATCTTGTTGTTTCGCATTTCAGAAATGAACATCTATTTATGAATTTTTCTTCTGTTCACCGAATTTTTACCAAAGAACCATTCATATTATTTTTTACAAACTGAAGGATTTAAGTTACTTTTCTAGACTCTAGAATTGTTTAGATTGATTTTTTTTAATTCTGAAGACAAAAGACCTTGTTAGTCTTCATTAAAAAATAGATGTTTCTCTTGAATTCCTTATTAATTTTACGTGAAAAATTCGCATCTTTCAATGCTGATCAAAATCAATAGTGCTAGTACTACTGTCTTTAATGTTTTGTAATCTTTCACATGTTTTCAATATGGATACCTACATAGAATGTTAGGTATAAATAAATACTACAGGACAATATTTAGAATAAGAATTGTTTTTTAAGAACTAGATGATGAAGAATGTGAAAGAAGGAGAAATGAGTGTCTGGAAGATATGTCAGAGTTAGAAAGACAGTTTTGTCTCTTTAAGGAAGAGTAAGTCGTCTTTTCTTTTTACAGTTCCATAAACATTTCTTTTAACAAGTGATAGGGTTTTTGTATCCAGTTTGTAGAACTGAAATCTAACAATTGGTTCTCCTGCGATATGCAACATTTTTATTTCAACTGATATTTCAAAATTAATCAACAGTTTTGACCTATGACAGAATTATGAGAAGAAACTGACCATGAGAATGTCAATGTGGTCTTCGTACTAGGGAAGCAAGTTTAATCTTCCATTCTTTTTTTTGTGCCAAAATCTCCTTTTGTGGATGGACACTTTGTCAGCATTGTTGGTTCATCTATTGATTAATATTTCTTTGTAAATGCTCTTAGGACAAACTTTGGTAAACTTACACTCTCTATGCATACTGACAAGGTGAAAATATATCAAGAAAGAAAGAAATTTATATGCCTTTCAGTTATTAACCCCAGTGATGATGAATTTTTAAAGGGAGTTTCATAAAACAAAATTGATCAGAGTTTCATGGTTAACCAATTATAAGTGGGACATTTTGTTGGCTGCTTTTTATGTTTTTTGAATGACTTTATCATTCTTTGATTTGCCAGTCTTCAGTACAACACATTTCAAAGATGCGGATGGAATTTAAATCTGTTCATTCATTCTATAGTATGATCTGACTTGTTGTAGACTCTGTAAAGAAAGATATCATCAATATGAAATAAAGTTAGAAGAAGTAAGACATGAAAAAGCTGAAGAATATTTATTACCTTTAGCACAGTTAGAAAATGAATCGAAAGTTAAATGTGATGTTGCTGGTGAGTATAACAAATAGATTACGATAACAATATATTTTCTCTGTTATATAGGGCTCATTTGTAGAGCAATAATGAAATATTAAAACAGAATCTGAAACATATTTGTTATTCAATGTTTCAAGAAGTGTGATCTTCAGACAACTGGCCCATTTCAGTCTGCGTCTTTACTGAAGTGAAATGGTCAACTTTCTGAAGATTGCACAGCTTAAAACTCATGAGTAATCAAATTTTTCATATACATGGACATATATTTTCATTACCTTGTTTGGGTGTGTGACCCTTTGTTTGTCCACTTCCTCTAGAGTAGATGTAGCCTCTATTTCCTCTTTTTCATTGGACTGATTTTATCTGTTTTCTAAACTGCATTTCTTGAACTTGAATTTCTAAAACTTTCCAATATGCATAT